GCCTTCAGACTATACCCTGCAGTGGTCCAAATCTAGAGGAACAACAGGGACGGTGCATTGTATTAAATGCTAATAATATGCCTCAGAATGGCTGCTCCATGTATTAATTTATTAGGAATGTAGGAAGCTGCCTTATTCTGCACCGGACCATTGGTCCATCTAACTTAGTGTTGCCGACATTGACTGGCAGTGGCTCTCTGGGATTTCACACAGTGTTTTCTCCCATACCTACCCGGAAATTTTAGGAAGCTGAACCAGGGCTTTCTACATGCAGAGCAGATGCTCTGCGAGTGAGCTAAGGCCTTCCTTATTATTCTTAAGATATTTCCAACTCCTCGAAAGATTCCATCAATGGAGTCTCTGAAAATTTTTACACGTCACTTAGGAAGACAGGCGAACTAATACCAGTGTACTGGAAGAAGCAAAGATCACCAGTGTCGAAGCAATGATTCTTTGACATCAACTGTTGTGCGGATGCCTGATTATCGTCTTCCAAAGCAACTGCTCTATTCCGAATTTAAAAATGGAAAGCCTAATGCTGGTGGTCAACAAAAGAGGTTTAAAGACTGTCTCAAGGCAAATCTTTAAAAATGTAGTATAAACACCAACAATTGGGAAACACTTGCCTGCGTGCACTCCCATTGGAGAACAGCCTTTACCAAAGGTGTCATAGGCTTTGAAGGCACTCAAACTCAGGACGCAAGGAAGAAACGTGCTAGGAGGAAGGCACACTTGGCAAATCCACACCGTGACCAACTCCCTCCCGGAAACGAATGTTCCCACTGTGGAAGGACGTGTGGATCCAGAACTGGCCTCCATAGTCACTTACGGACTCATTGTTAAAACCGTGTTTATGGAAGACAATCTTACTCGGCTACGAGTGATCGCCAGAGAAGCAGCAGCATGAATAAAGTGGTAAGGAGTGCATAAAAGCAAGGTAGAAAAGAAAAAAGAAAAGAAAAGAATTTCTTCTGTGTTTTTTTTAAATAATATTTATTGATAGTTTCAAAATTACAGAAAAAAAAGTAAAAGTAAAAAACAACACTACAATACATAGAAAAGAAGAAAAAAAGCAAAACATAAAAACTGATGCAACAATACAGCAAAAAGATAAAAAAGAAGAAGGGGGGGGGAAAGACACAAATCCCATATTACATATCTTTAACTTCCATTTGCTTGTTTCATTGACCTCCTCACACCTCCCTTTTTGTATTCTAGTTTAATTAGTTATTTCAGCAAATTCTTTCCATCTTTCTCAATTTTTATTAAATAATTTATCTTAACAATTTAACCTATTAATTAACTCAACAAATCCTTTCCATCTTTTCCCCATATTCTGTTATTCACATTACCTTAATTTATTTAACCTTATCTTACCGTAAAATACCTTAGAGCTTGAAACTTAATACTCAGTTATACATAGCCCCTGATATAATTTCTACTAGAGCCATATAGTTTCATTCCAACATTTTCCCTAATATTCATTAATTTTAGGCTAATTCCCTAGATAAAAATTTTTCTTTATAAATTTTCTTCCAATCTTCATCCAACGTCTCTTCTTCCTGGTCTCGGGTCATGTCAGTCCTTACTGTCCATTCCATCTAGTCTATCAACCTGGTAGTCTTATGTCCGAGGCCCTTAAGTCTCTTCCATGTCCCTTCTGCAGATCTTCTTCTTGTTTATACCTGCACTTTTCCTTGTCTTTTGTTGGTCTCTTTCTTAATTTCTTTCCTTCTCATTGAGGAGTAAGTCTCTGGGAGGTTCCAACCCAAAATTATCTCCGTCTCCCTTCACCAAACCAGCCCATTCCCCACAGTCCCACTCCCCACAGTCATCAATGTAATCCAAAAAATATTTAAGAGCATATTTCAAAGTCTCTCCAAAGTTAAGAACCTCCTCAGTTCTAAACTCCCCCTGGCCTACTCCAACTTCAATCTTCAAAAACAGCGGCTTATGCTCCTGTAGGGCCTCGGGTCTCTCCATTTGTATTATTTGAGGTGGAACTGCAACCTCCTCCATTATCTTCTGCACTTGCCCAATCAATACAGGTTCCTGATTTGGTCCCTGAATGATTTCTGTATCGATATTCCCTGTTTGTCCACAGTTATTGACCACAACAGTCATCAAATCCATTTTCTCATTCATCAAATCCACCTTCTCATGCATCTGTTCCAACAAAGCACTTGTCTTGCATAAAGCAAGCACCAAAACTTCCTCCCAGCTCATATTTAGTCAAGGTCAAAGGAACTGGTTCCACGATCTTAATCTCACAGCTGTAGAGTCCTCAAGTAGACTGCAGCAACAATTTAGCAAGCTCCCTCTAGAGGAGACAATTTCTATTTGTATCCATCTTTTTAAGGCAAGTCCAACAAAGGAAAATTACTTTCATTTTCCAGATATTTTGTTTCTTTAGAATGCAAAAGGCAACATTGGAATCAGTTTATTTCTCTTCTTTAGCTATCTGTCAAAGTATTCCATTCACAGTCAATAAACCTCTCCAGCAATTTCTGTCTCTGACACCCCGTTCCCAGGTTAGAGACGGTGGAAACTTATCTTTCTTCACTCCCTCTCCTGCAGGCGTTAAACAAAGTTCCCCCCTCTTTTCTCCTGCTTCCAAGGGGGTTTCAGTAGTTATAAATGAAGGAAATTTAGACTTTTTTAACGACTTTCCAGGCTTTAGCTTACAAGGTTTTTGCTTCAGTCTATGTACAAAAAGCGGAAGGCGGACTTCCTGTTTTGAACCTTCCCGCTTCGGTGCCAAATTAAGATATTTCTTGATCCAATTTTCCGTTTCTACTCACGGGTACTTGTTTTAAATCCAATTGTCCACAGGAAAAAGTCAGCGCTCTCCGGCAATGGCTATGCGGCTTCACTCCGTGAAAGTAGCAATCAGTTCACAGCACCGCGCCGCTCACCCCACTTCACTCCGGAACCCCGAAATGGGGTTCCCCGTGAGTAGGGGGGGCGCTCCTGGTGCCCTGCCAAACCCCACATTCCAAGGCTTCCTCCGCCTGGGATTTCTAGCGGGTTCCCACCTTCGCCGCGGCGGGAAGACCCAGTTTCCACGGAGCCAGTTCCTCCAGTCAGAGGAACTCCGCCATTCGCCGATGGCGCTAACCCGGAAGTCCAGAAAAGAAATTCTTCTGCACTTTTTAAGCCAAATACTTTCTCCAAGCCGTTTTTCAGGATTTTTTGTTGTTGTATGCGCTATTTGGATGTTCTTTGCTGTTGTGCTGCACGCTATAGGAACAAACAGTAGGACTGCATAGAGTAGCCCCACATCAGATGTCTGCAAATACAGTGTGAACATCCGGAGTAAGGGGACCTTTGTACATAGAGTTGTATGCATTAAGGTTTCCCTAGTATCTGCAATCCTGGTCATTCAGAGTTGGAGGTCCCAGCAAAGGCTTTGTGCACACAACTATTTGCCATAGCCATTCACACTGGCTGCATAGAAGTCAGGAGATGTGCAGTTAATAGCAGAGCCATCGTTAATTGGTGCAGCCCCACTCCTTATTCCTCGATAATTCCACATGAGATTAGAGAGGAACCAGAATAGACCTCTTCTATAGATACATATCTGCTTGATGTTTTCTATTCCTTTTGAACAATGACTAATGTTTGCACGATGAAGGGGTCCAGTAGATGGCCCCAAACAAAGTGTGATCTGCCTCATGACCACAGAGTGAACTTCAGTGGACTGGGCACATCAAGAAATACCGCCCAGAGCAACTCTGTGGGCCTCAGCAAGGCAGGCAGGCTGCTACTAATGGCGTAGCTGGCATAGGAACAGGGCCAGGGATGGATCCCAAATAGCTTTGGCAGAAGAAGGGTTCCTTGCCATTTAAGAGGCTAAGTAAGTGCTATAACTGCCCTGCCAATGCTGAAACCACCTGCTTTTGTAAGGATTTATCCTCTCTTCTCCCACCCATGGGAGGTCCAGGGAGATATTTTAAAAGCATTGCCACACTTATATCCTGCTGCCACAGCGTCAGATTGCTGCTACCTTCGCAATCCATAGAAAGCCCCTGTGTAATTTATCATTATCATCATCACTCGGCACCTTATTATCTTTGCCTTGTTTACCCTCAGCAGAAAGCACTGTGTGAGGCAAGTTATTTCTGGCAGAAGAAAAACTAAGAATGAGAAAGAGAACAGTAATACATATCCACCCTGTGGAATGTGAACCTAGGCACAATGCTGGGGCACACACTCTTAATTTCTTTTCCCTCAAATAAGAGTTGATTCCTTAATGTTTTAGTTTAAGCAGGCATAGACATTGAGTTGTTTGAGTTATCAAGATGTGCTGTCTGCAGAATGTTAACTACTGAATTCAGGTGTTTGAAACTTGACAGGTTTATTAATAGGAATACATACAGCTGCCTGACAGGGCTCTTACAGGCTTTCACCTAAGCTACAGGCAGGGAACCTGTGGCTCTCCAGCTGCTATTGGGCTCCAGCTTCCATGAGCCTCAGTCAGCCTGGTCAACTGTAAGGGATGATGGGACTTGGAATCCAACATCTGAAAGGCCATAGTTTTCCCATCCCTGACCTAGATTAAGGGCAAAAAATGAGGGGAAAGTCTTCAGGCAGTGCACAATTAATTAATTGTTCCTGAAAATGGCCATCAGAGTGTCATGTGTCACTCTGCATCTTCAGGGTCAGATGTGGGATGGCAGGCTCTGGAGGAAGATGAAGAGACAAATAAGGAAGAATGGGGAGAGGGGGCTGGGCCAAGGAAGGCACTTCCCTGTCAGATGGTAATGTTGGAACAGGAGTCCTAGCAAGCAGCAAAATTTGTACTGGAATTTTGGGGGGAAAGGCAGCTCTTCTTCCAAACACCTGAGAGATTTTGCAAACTTAAATCTTTCCTTTTAGTTATTCACTGTTGGGTAACATTTCAGTTTATGGCCATAGCTCTGGTTGAACTTCTCTGCTGACATTAAGATCTTGCTCTGCCTTCTGTTACAGGGATGCCCCAAACACTGAGCTCTACCAGCATGTTTACTCCTTGTGGCTTCAGCCCTCATCATCTACATCCACCCAAAGAAGGTGATGAAGGAGGGCTGATCTTTCAAGATGGAAACCTCACCTCAGCATCTCTTGATGCTTTAATCCAGCATCTTATACCTACAGCTGACTACTACCCTGAGGTAAGTCCTATGTTAATGTAAGCTGCCACATCGCTTTCATGAACTGGATCATTGGGAGGAATTCTTGCTATGTCCAACATACTGTCAGGGCATGCATTTCAGCTTGCCAGACAGAATGTTCCCCCCTCCCTTTTCACTTACTGTTCTGGGAGTTCTCTCAAAAAACCCCAGAGCCAATTTTTTTTTGGGGGGGGGAGGAGAGAGAGGAAAGCCCCATTGCACAAGTGGTGGTCTTTGTACAGGGCTTCCACTGATGGGACTCATCCATTTCAAATCCCAGTTCAAGTGCTAGCTACCACTTTAAAAGTCCTAAATGATTTAGGACTAAGGTACCAATGGAACAACATCTCCCATATGAGTCTTCATTCACGTTTCAGTCATTGTGGGAGATTTATCTGAATCCCACTGTTGTCGGAGGTTTGGTTGAGGGCTTTCAACATAGTAGGAGGTCTGTTTGGTTTATGGGGCATTAAAATGCTATTCTTTTTGAATGAGCTTAAGGGCTGGAGTATACTGAATGTGATCTCCCATACTGTTTTACTGGATCACTGCAAGTTTTATCAATAGTGTTCTATACTTTGTGAGTTGTAACCCTCCTTGGGTATTGCTGTATTCAGTGGAATGATAGGGAATAAATATTTATGATTATGTGATTCTTGTAGAGCTCTTTCACACTGAAGTAGCATGGTTGCCCAAGTGGAAAGGAAATTTGTATCATGACAAGAATTGTAAATGTTTGATGAAATGTAGGATACACTGCAAGATAAATGGTTCTGTGTAACCCTTTGATTTAACCTGAAGTTTGTATTATTCTTCCTAGACTTCATCCAAATCACTGGGGCAAAGTCAAGGGGAGGAAGGGATGTTAAACAAATATCATATACTAAGAATAGCCTAACCAACTGGATCAGGGGGCATGTTCATATTATTGCTAATTCTAGTTTGCTAAATGCTTTCAATTGCACTCACAGTTAAAAGAGCTTAAGTTCCATTTAGTTCAATTACTTCTAAACATGTATAACTTAGGGCTCAATTGCAGCCACTGTTAACTTGGCTTTTGTTGTTACATCTAGAAGTACTTCATTAGTGAGAGTCTATAGCCTAACAACTTTTGATTGAAAACAATGGTCATTTACATGAAAGGAAATGAGCACTCAATATTGCAGCCTTAGCACATGAAAAGAGTGGCTATTTATTAAAAAGAAACTCCACTGTGCTGGAGATGAATACTCTACCAAGGCTAATGCTTTAAAGTCAATAATTGCAAAGTTCAGCAAATTCTGACATTTTTAGCAACACACACATTAACATGATACATATCCATATTATATTCACAGTTTCATATATTCATAGATTAATTTTGTCCTGTGAATGAAGCATGAAAAAATTGGAAACTAAAAGTATAACAAAATTGTCTAATTTCTTTGCCTATTTGTTTGTTTTTTTGGTTGTGAAGCAGATGTTTAATCTTAACGTTGTTGGTTTTTTCTTCATGTAACACTGCAGGACTATACAATAACTTATGTTTTTTGCATAGGTGCTGTTTAATTAGCTGCAACAATATTGGTTTTTATCCTCAACCATGTGTCTCAAAAATGTGGTTAACAGTTTTGATCTACTAATTAAAAGGTAAAGGTACCCCTGCCCATATGGGCCAGTTGTGTCCGACTTTAGGGTTGTGTGCCCATCTCACTTAAGAGGCCGGGGGCCAGCGCTGTCCAGAGACACTTCCGGGTCACGTGGCCAGCGTGATGAAGCTGCTCTGGCGAGCCAGCACCAGCGCAGCACACGGAAACGCCGTTTACCTTCCCGCTATAAAGCGGTACCTATTTATCTACTTGCACCTAGGGGTGTTTTCGAACTGCTAGGTGGGCAGGAGCTGGGGCCGAAAGACAGGAGCTCACCCCGCCGCGGGGATTTGAACTGCCGACCATACGATCGGCAAGTCCTAGGCACTGAGGTTTTACCCACAGCGCCACCCACGTCCCTGATCTACTAATTACTTGAAATTAAATCATATTGCGTTCAATATAATGTAATCCCAAGTTAGTGTGTAAGATTTCCAGCATTCTACTTTCAGCCCGCTGAATATCATTAGGAAAAGGATCAATGGCTATATCAGGGGTAGGCAACCTAAGGCCCGGGGGCCGGATGCGGCCCAATCGCCTTCTCAATCTGGCCTGGGGACCGTCCGGGAATCAGCGTGTTTTTACATGAGTAGAATGTGTCCTTTTATTTAAAATGCATCTCTGGGTTATTTGTGGAGCATAGGAATTTGTTCATATTTTTTTTCAAAATATAGCCCAGCCCACCACATGGTCTGAGGGACGGTGAACCGGCCCATGGCTGAAAAAGGTTGCTGACCCCTGGGCTATATGCTACATCCATGGTTGGAGGCAGTAAGCCTCTGAATACCAGTTGCTGGGAATCACAGGTGGGATGAGTGCTGTCTTTCAGGCTTCCCATAGGCATCTGATTGGTTACTGTGATGGATTCAGAACAAACAAAAGGAAGTAGTTTTTCTCCATTCACATAGTTAATCTGTGGAATTTCTTTCCAGCAGGTAGATGACTTTACAGGGGGTATCAGACAATTCAATGATGATAAAGTTTTAGTGGCTACCAGTCATGGTATCTGTATGCTGTCTTGGGAATACCCATTTCTGGAGATCCAGAGGGTGTCATGTTCCGCTTGCAGGGGTTCCAGAGTAAGAAAAAAGATGCTGAACTAGGCAGGCACTTGGCCTGATCCAGCAGGGCTCCAACTCCTATGATACATTCCCCAAGGAGAGCAATCATTATATTACAGCTGTTTATCTTGTACACAAGTAAGGCTCTGTCTTCTTTTCAATATATGTAATCTCTCCTCCTTGCAAAGTCTTGCTGTGGGTTCACTTTGAGAAATCATCGCTCATATTCATTTGCAGATAAGTTTGCCTCTTTCCCTTTTCCAGAAGGCCTATATCTTTACATTCCTACTGAGCTCAAGACTCTTCATTGAGCCTCGTGAACTTCTGTCCCGAGTTTGTCACAAGTGCATCGAGCAGCAGCAGCTGGATGACCCAGTGCTGGATAAGGTTAGTACTACCAATGGCGGGTGGGTGGGACTGCCTTTGCAAAGAGCTGCCAGTGCTAGAGCAAACTAAAGAAATCCCCTGGCTTTGAATCTTTTGATTCCTTGCTGCCTGTGTGCATTCACTCCCATGGGGTTTTTGTTGATGCTGAGTGCCTAGCATGGTTGCATTCTAACATAACATCAGTGCCTCTGAGCAAAGCTGCAGGCACTGGGTGTAGCAAACACTTCAAATCCCCTTCTACCTTCCTCTTGCAGCCTGTCTCAAGTCTTCCCAGGTGGTTTCCCTTTCCTTTCTTGAAGGTTTCACTGAAGCCTTCAGGGTTCCAGGAGGAATCATTTAAGCTGTGCACTGTCAAGAGCAGTTGTCACTGCAACGCTATATATCTCAGTTTTGCCTAATGCATCGTCTCTTAGCCCTAGGCATAGTTTGCAATCTTTCCAGGCTTACCTGTCACTGGCAACTCCCCACAGCAGAATTGCAATTGCAATGAATGCCTGCATGACAAAACAGTAATATATTTGTACTTGGAAGCACTGCTATATACCTATTTACACATCAACAACAAAAACAAAATTGTTCTGTTGTTAGGTAATGATTCCCTAACAGAATGCAGAAAGGTAATGTTTCTCTTTGTAGTAAAGTCTCTTCATAAATACAATGGTCTTGCTTGCTCAACCTGTTGAACCTTAGAATTGTAGGACACACTTGTGGGATGTATTATTACTAGAGCAGTCAAGTACAACATTTTCCTATTGCCTAGAATAGACACACACGCGAATGTGGCTCCAGACAGGGAGGACTTCCTGTCATACCTGCTCTGAAGCTTCCTCCCCCTATGTGTGACCAGGTAGATGGGTGTTGACCCTAGCTGACCATGCAACCATCTCTCTCTTGGACTCTTACTCTCTTACCCTTGGACTCTCACACTCCTGGCTTTTAGCCAGCGCATGCCTCAACCTTCACATAGGATGGAGCCCACAAGCAGAAAGTCTGAGATGTAGCTCAGACGTCTTTTCACTCTAACCACTAGATAAAGCCTGTCTTCAAATTACTGCTGTGAACTGAATGTGAGTAAAACGTTATTCTTACTTTTAAAAAAGACTGTGTTGTGTTACTCTTATTTTAAAAGGGAAGTAAAGGGGAAACCTACTAGGAACAATCCAAACCAGACAAGCCAGAATGGATTGCTTAATTTAAGGATTCTAACGAATCATCAACTTGTTTCCAATAAGTTGCAAGGGGAATGTGCTCTGCTGTTTACTCACTAGTGTGAGTGAGGAGGGTTAATATCAAAACAATATTTCCTCTCCTAACTTCCTTAACATTCCCACATCACTATGGTTTTCAGCAATGTCTACACTTCCTTCTCAGGGTTTTGCTTGTGACAGTTCTCACCTGCATAGAGTACTGGCACATATTTTTCCCCGCCTTCCCCTGGCACCAATTTTGTACTGACGCTCATGGCTCTTTCATCAATATATGAAAAGCAGTACTCCCCCCATTGCATTATGTAGGTCACAGCATGGACATCCCAAATTATTTCTCTTTGCATCATGCCTTTCTGCAAGTGCCATTGTTGAAAATGCTTCTACAAACACAACTTGGAAACTGGGTTAGTTTAGTTCCCAGAATAGTTCCCATCCTCAACTGTCAAAACTTTTGTTAGAATGTCAGCAGTGCATGAATAGCAGAACTGTATTGTGCCTTTGCTTCTTCAAAGTTGAGTCTGGTGGCAGGGGAAAGATTATAATACATCCCCCATCTGGCTACTCTGTCACTGAAAATAAAAAAACCCTGGTGTTAAGAGTGATAGTTTGTGGTGTGAACTTGGCCTTTAAAGCTTATAAAAATAGCCCATGTTTAGCCTCAGGAAGGTACTAATTCACCCAGAAATATTCAGAATGCTGACTTATCTCATGTGATCCAACAAGAAGATTCTCAAGGTAAATCTTTATTTCCTGGCTGTTTATCCAGAAGAGGAAGACTCACAGTGCAGTCCTAACCATGTTTACTCAGAAGTAAGTCCAACTGAATTCAGTGGTGCTTACTCCCAAGTAAGCAGGATTTGGATTGCAGCCTCAGGCAGTCTTACTGTACAGTCACAGACCTGCTTAACAGCCTCACTCAGCTATTTTGCTATTTTCAGAAGCCCTCATTAGGAAGATTTTTTACAAGTATGTACTTGCTCAGGGACTGGGAATCTGTGACCCTATAGATGGTATGTTGGACTCCAGCTTCCATCAGTGCCAACCAGCAAGGCCAGTGGTGAGGGAAGATGAGAGCTGTGGTTCAACAGAATCAGGACTTCCTCATCCCTGTAGCATCCCTCGTCCTAGTACTCTAGCTCCTCAACAAGCCCTGAGCTTCCATATTTAGAGAGAGAATGGACAAGCAGCCAGGTGTCTCTTTAACACAGGGCCTAACATTGGGAGGGGAGGCAGCATGAAATGCTTTCTCAGTGCTTCTCTTCCCTAAACCACATATTCAGCCATGGGTAATCGTGGTCCTAAATGGACAATGGTGTAATGGTATAGGGGCAGAGGAAAAGTCACAGGGGAAGGGGATGAAGGATCCCCTGCCAGCCTCCCTGCTTTACCACGCACAACGCTCATGAAATTTCATAGGCCACCTATATTATGTTCACTGATAGTAAGAATGTTGCATTTGCCTTGAGACCTGTTTTGGTCACATGCTAAAATGGGCACTTTGATGAGTTTGGTTGAAAAAGCAGGAAGCTTCAAGGCACACAATATAATTTTGTTTGATTAGAGGGTGCCTTCTGTCCAGAGGCTAAAACAAGGAAGTTCTCTCCTCTCATTCAAGGTTTCCATTGATGTAATGAATACGTGTGCTGTTTGAAAATAGGCTTCTTAGATTGCTCCTAAAACATTTAGGATCATCGGGCATATCATACTATAATACAGAAGATCTGACCCCAAGTATCTTAGAGGCAGAGAGCAGGAAAAGCCAAAGCGGTTTCCTTTGGCAAATACTTGTTAGGTTCAAAAAGAAACATTTAAGAATAGGTTATAGCTGTACAAGAGAAGTGTATAGCCAAATATTGAGAACATCCAAAGTAGGGATACTTATGGAATTCTATCATTGCAAATTCCAGTGTGAACCAACACACACACACACACACACACACACACACACACACACACACCAGACTAAAGTACAAAACAGAACATTTTCTTTCTGTGCTTGGCTGGAAAAAGTAAAAAGTAAAAGAAAAAACCAATTATTTAGAAATGCATATTTTGAGATAGAATAAGTGTTTAAAAGCCATAGGGCAGAAAAGGCTTAGAAGTGAACACATGCAAAAGTGCTGCAGACTAGAAATAGGCTTCCATCCCTAATACAAGGCCATCTATGAAACTAATTTAAATCACTCTATAGGCATGTTGGTGTTCTGCAAGTACCACCATTCCAGAATCAGCATTAGGTTAAACCACCAGATCTTTTGGCTGAGAGTTCTTAAATTTGCATCCATCTTTTTTTATTTCTAATTTCAGGCACGAATCAGAAAATTTGGGCCCAAAATACTACAGTTATTGACGGAATGGACAGAAACATTTCCATATGATTTTCAGGACGAAAAGATGATTGGCTGCTTAAAAGACATTATCCACAGGATAGCTCCATGTGATGAGGTGAGGATGGCAGCAATTTAGAGATATACTGAGAAGGTGCATAATCAACAATTGTTCAGTCAACTGTTTGTTATTAAAAATTACTTTCACTATGGAAGAGACTGGGGGGGACAAATTCCTAGTCAATTTTCAAATGACATTTTCTGAAAATATGATTATCAATAGAAAGAAATATATAATATTGTTTAATTATTTCTGAGCTAAGATGTAAAAAGCTAGTTGCATGGTCAACTAAAAAGTTCACCCAGGTGACCTAATTTATTTGTTGACTAATTTTAAAAAATGGAAAAGGAAACTTCCATTTAAAAAAGTTTATGGAATGTAGGTTGGATCCAGATCTTAGAGTAGACTCACTGAAATATAAGGAACTTAAGTGGCATCCCTAACATAAGGTAGTGGATCTATTTCAGCTTTCACCAACACAGTGTCTTCCAGGTGTTTTGGGCTACTGAACTAACTGGAGCTGATGGGAATATGAAGGGCACCAAGATCAGCAAAGACTGTTCTAGTCTAAACATGGCTAAGGGTGCAATCCTAACTTACATAGTCATAAATCCAATTGAATGCCATCCAATTTATATTTGAGTAGACATTATTAGAATTACACTAGGCAATTCTCTTTTTGGGTTTTATTTTGTATCTTCACACGTTGTACTTTTTTCTTCTTCCTTTTACCCTTCTTTATCCTCTGACATTTTGCTTAGCAAAACCAGACCTAATTGCTGAGCTAACTAATATGGCAGTGTGAGATATTGCAGAATGGGAGATATTGGAACAAGCAAACAGAAAGAGAGTACCTAATTCAGATTGACTAATATCCTGATGTTTTACATGAAAGATTGCAAAACCAACAGTCCCAAACATTAGCTCATTTTGTGGCCTATTAACTTTTTAGGATATAAACAGTTAAAGGAACAATGAAGCTGTCAGTGGAGGCTTGAATCATTTTAGATTCCTCCAAATTAGCCAGCTAGCAAACAGTGAATATTGAGTTGCGTAGCTTTCAAAGGAGGAGCTTTAAGTTATGCACAATATAAATAACAAATTAGACATCGGGGAGCTGTGTTCAGATTGGGCTCTTAATGACTAAGGTCATAGCCAGCAACCAAAGAGCTACTATAGTCATGCTCAAAATCTTCAACATACCCAGTTCAATGTTCATTGAACATTGACTGGCAGCTAGTGAAGCCACCATAGAAAAGGGAAATGGAGACATTGGTATGAAGAAAGCCTTAATAAGGTATGAATAAGTTATATGGGGCATTATCCAACCAAGTGCTTCCTCTAGGGAAAGGATTTCCAGTTGTGCAACTTAACTTCTCCCCCTTCTTCTCTCCTCACTTGCCCTCTACCAGCGGCGTACGAAGTGGGGGGGCGGAGGGGGCAGATCACCCTGGGTGCCACTGGGGGGGGTTTGACAAGATGGCCCCTGCTTCCCCCATCTGTAGAGTGGCCAAGGGCGTGCACAGTCAGTAGGGGTGCCGCTCGCGCGGTGTCCGTACGGGCTGCCTTTCGCATGGCGACCATATGGGCTGCTGCGCGTGCGCACTCTGTATGGGATGCCGCACATGCGCAGTCTGTATGGGTTGCTGCTCGTGTGGCAGCCCATACAGACGCCTGTATGGACTGTGCACGCGAGCGGCAGTGGGCGGTTCGCCCTGCCTCCCGGCGTCCCGCCCTGGGTCCCAGAGAGGGTTTCTCCGCCACTGCCCTCTGCACCCTCCCCAAATTTGTTTAAGTGTTGGGAGAACCCCTAGAGCAGATTTAGGAGACACATGGGGGAAGCATTGATATTAATCTTTTTATTGGATTTTCTCTTCCAACAACTCTGCAAGGTAAGTAACCTTTATTTCCGTTTTACAAATGGGGAGCAAAGGCTGAAAGAGAATGTCTTTCCTAAAGCCACACAGTCAGTTCATAGCAGAGATGGGACTTGAACCCAACATATACTCAGTGTCCTATCCCCTGCTCTACATTGGCTCTTTCTCCTCTTTCTGGTACTGCTGTTGCTTCCACAGGGTGGAGCTGCCTAAAAGAGGCAGCTCTCTTAGCTGGTGATTTGAAGTTGGCTTGTTGAATAACTAGCCAACTAAACAAGCTTGACCTTGATGTAACATCAAACCTTGCAAAACATTAAACTTCCTTTGCAAGGTAAGAGCAAACTGTGGTCTGATGGTTTAGGTGAAATGGCAACCTAAGGTTTGCCTGAGCACCAGGATAAAATTGAAGCACTGGAGTGTGGGGAGAAGACACAACTTATGAGCTCAAGGCTCCTCACTGCGTATCTAACATGAGGCTATGGGCTGGCTGGGTATTGGTAGTAAAGGCAGCAGTAGGAATTGTCTTCAGCAGTGGTCATCCAGATGCTGTGGAACTGAAGACCCATTAGCCCCAACCAGCATGATGGGCGATGGAGTCCATCAACATCTGCAAAATATCACATTGGCCACCCCCGTCTACAGAATCAATAGATGCAGGTTGCTGCAGCAAAGGTCTCATTGGCCTTTTGGTTGATCTCCAGACAGTTCACATAGCTAGAGTGTGCTTGTATCTATGAAGCTGGGCTTCTTAGATAAATAGCTTCCTCCTGGGTGCTTTCTAACCCCCCACCTTTTTTTTTGTCCAGATGGCCATAGCTGCCAATTGTTAAGCAGTTTTTATCTTGCAATCTGAATGAAGAAAGGATGCAAAGATAATTATGATAATTATGAGAGTTCAAAGTGAACGAAATATCCACGCTGCTGAAAACATATCAACCCTATATGGGAAATGGAGACGTTGACTTTGAGCCTGTTGACATTCAGGGTCTGCTCCCATTGCTTTCAACTGGAGGAGCAGCCTGGACTGTGCCAGAGTTCTTCATAAACAAATCTATATTAGTTGGCTGTGGTGGGTGGAGAGCTGGGGAAAAAACCTTAATGCCAGTCTCCCTGAGCAAAACTAGCAATTAATTAAAGGAATAAGTCACAAGGTCCTATTTATGCAGCTATCTTTTGAAAGGGAAGCATGAAAGAGAAACTGTTCCATGGTGGGGTCTGTACTTGTTTGAAGGGAAAAGGGCAGATCAAATCAAAAGTGCAAAAGAATCCTAGGATTATGGAACACATTTTATCTGTTACTGAAATGAGATTGGGATGATTCCTTACAGCAATATTTTCCTGCTCTTTATCCAGCCTGGTTTCTGGAGGCTTCTTGCAGTGCTTAGAAAGGTATGCATACTGAGAAGCAGTTTCTTTTGCCAAGAGTTACAATTTGCATTTTGAAAGAGAAAGCTTAATTAAAATCTGAATTTCTAAGCCACCTGCTGGGGCTTGCCATCTTCCTTAAATGTGTTTCTGCTTGAGAATGAAATGTTTTTCTTGAATATTAAACAAAAGTACTCTTTGGTTCCCAAACTGGATATTTAAAGAGAAATAGGATTTTTCGTATAGATACCTAGCAGCAGAAATTTTTACAAAGTTCCAAATTAAACTGCACAGTCATTGGCATGTTAAGAGTTTTTAAAAAAGAGGTTATTTCTATTATAAAAAAGATATTCAGGAATACATTGTGTTTGTTAAATATTTTCTTAGCCACAGTGCTCAGGACAGTTGTTTGTTTGTTTACAACTTATGTATGTCACCGAATAAATGAATATCCTCTGGGATATGAACCATAAATTTACAATGCATGAGTAAAAACCTGAAAACAAGCAAACAAATAATTAATTCTGAAGAAGAAGAAGAATAAATGCCAAACTAAATAAACACAATAAAAATAGAAGTGATAAAACTGCCACTAGCAAATAATATAAAACAGCATTCAAAAGCACTAAATGGTTAATTTAAAATATTTGGAAAATAAAAAGACTGTAGTTTCCTAGTGAGTCTCTCTGCAGAGGGACACTAAGCCCACAAGAGCCTCTCCCCCTCTCTAGTAGCCACCTATTGCACCTTATTTGGCAAGGCTATTGGAATTTAAAAAATTTAAGATTTATTTTTGTGCAAAGAGTCATTGTACACCTTCAGGATTATACTTTTGTTCCTGCTTGCTTATGGTAGATGTTACATAGATGTTTCCCTTTGCTGACAGCAGGATCAAATCCTCAATAAAGAATTTAAAACTTACATTACAAAATGATTAAAGCACTAAAAGCAGCAGTGGGAAAACAACAATAAGAAGCAGTAAAAAAAAAAAAATTACTTCAGATACAGAGACTTTAAAAACCAATACAATAAAGCAATCCTCTATGGACCAAACGCCTTCTTTAAAAGGACAGTTTTATACTATATTCCAGAAGGCCATGAAACAGGGGCAAGACTTCTTCGCTGTATTTCCACGTGAACAAGCTACTGAGGTCTGACAGCTGCCAGCTCAGTTGCCTCTTCCGAAAGCAGTGATGTGTTGTCCATGCCACTCTTTTTTAGTCACCCAGAACATCAGCAACGCATAGCTGATTGATGTGTGCGCCAGTATCCTTCCAGTTGCCCTGAGTGATATGTGACTGGATGACATAATCCGTGGACTTTGCGGTGTGTCTCTGACCTGCCTCGCTTGCTGTGTTGATCCAGCTGTCAACTTCCTCACTGCAGACTTCCCTTCTTTGCAGCGCTTTATGTCCAGATTAGCAGTAGGCTCAAATCATAGCTGTCTGAGGCAGAGATTGAGAAGAGAGTTTGCTCATAAGCAGTTTCCTCTCAAACTGTCAAACCTTGTTAAATGCCCTTCAGGATTTATGGGCAATGCAGAGGATTGTAAATGCTCATATATATCTTAGCCAGGCTAACACATTCTTCCTCAAAAGAATCCCACCCATAATTCTTTTTATAACAAGGATGGGGAACCTCAGTTCCAGGGGGCTAAATGCAGGCATTCAGGCCTCCCTGTCTGGCACTGTGCCCAGACGACATGTCTCACTGGCCCTCATTCACACCCCAGTTTAAACCAGGGCAGTTCCCTTTGAGAGACTGGTAACTGCATGTGACAGCAACCTTTTTGAGTTGATGGGCACATTTGAAATTCTGAAAATTTTCTGATGCTGTGGGCACCAGTCACAAAATGGCTGCCACGGTGGTTTGGCAGGACACAAAATGACTGTTGCGTAAGGTGTGGCACAGCACAAAATGCTGCCACATTGAAAAGTTTTTAAAATATAAACAGCCAAACATATTCCAGGAAACTCCTTTTCCAAACAAAAGAAGAAGTCTGTTGCTGGTGAGGTAGTGTTGATTAGAACTAGAAAATAAAACATAAAAATTATTCCTGAACTTAATAATTGCAAATATACATACACAGTCATAAATAAAAAGATGCATTTAATGCTTTATGTTGAGTCATTATTACTATTTTTATTATTTAAATAATTGCTACCCCACTCTACAGCCCCAAGACTTCCAGGGCAGTCTCTCTACCCCTCCTCTCTCACATACACACAAAGGGGGGTGGGGAGAAAGATGGACAGACCCTGCTCCCCAAGCTTACAATTGGGGGACATGATGACACTATTATCTATTATTCTTATTCTTAATCATTAATGTTATTACCCACCCTTCACCAATAAGCCCCAGGACAAGATTAGTAACACTTAAAGCAGATTATGAACCACAGGGAAAGGATGAGCCCCGAAAACACAAATCTCTTGACGCCAGGGTAAAGAGATATGTCTTCAGTATTTGCTGAAAGCTATATATTAAAAAAGCCCAATGTACCTCTGAGGAGTTCCATAACTTAGGGGGCTGCCACAGAAAATGCCCTCTCCCAGATTGCCACCCCTCCAAATAAACTTCTGAAGGAGGTGGTATTACCGAGAGCCCCCTTTGCTGATCTTAACATCCAAGAGAGTTTGTAAAAAAAGAGAGAGACAGTCTTTCAAATATTTGGGGCTCTAGTTGTTTGCAGATTTAAACACTGATATGTGCACCTTGATTTGGGCCCTGAAATGTACAATCCATTTTAAATTAGCACAGCCTTTCACAATTCTGCCTGGGCAGCTTGGTCAGCTTGGGCAGAATGTTCTGTTTTTTGAAGCCTCACAGCACAAAACTAAAATGGGAAGGTGAAAGCTAATTGGTGCTGTTTTCTTCCCCCTGCCCCCTTCTGTATTCCACACATGTTAAACTGGCATTGTGGTCAGTAGGCTGAACTAGCACTGAGCACAGTTGCTCACATGTTTTTGACTGGATGCCAGTCTTGTGGTAGAGATCCATAGGATGGAGCTTAGGGTGGACCTATAATTAAGCTGACTGGAATAGTTAGGTTGAAAATAAGATTCTAAGCCACGAATGGTTTATGGATATTTCCCAAATAGGAACATTCAATCATACCGATTTTATTTTTTCCAGCTCATGGTTTGTAATGTTTTCCTTTTCCTTTCCCCCCTGTTCTTTTCCTTTTCCTCACTTCAGGCCTACCGGAAAAAGATGAATCAGCTTCTGCAGACCCTGAATCAGAAGCTCGCAGCTCTTAACCATGGGCAGGAAGGGATAGTCAAGATCAACGCAGCTGTCTCAGACAAGGTGGTTGCTTTTAAAAGTAAGCCCCCATCCATTCAACGAGAAATGATGAGTGTCTGCAGTGATCCCTACACCTTGGCCCAGCAGCTGACACATGTGGAACTGGTAAGTGGAGAGGAAGATTTTTTGCTTTATCTTTAGGTAAGACAACATTTTCTAGAAAATCCCTATTGAGACTTTCGAGAGGATTAAAATATGATCAAATCCCCTTCCCCATGGCAGGAACTCAAATGTGTTGTGGTAAATTTCTGAATGTAGGACCACAAGTACAGGGCATCATGTGAGTCCTTCAGTCCAAGCAATTGCCCACTGGGAGGGAATAAGATATCTTACTACTAATAACAAAAGCTAACTTATATAGTTAAGAAACTAGTGCACCTACAGTAGACCAAATATGTACTGTTCAGGTTAATGCTAGTTTCAGATGCAGCCATCTTTTTCTTCCCGCATGCTGCAATATGATATTGATTAGTATTGGTCTTGATGAATGAAGAACACAAAGTTTCTCTGAATAACCTTTCATCCTTAAATATTTGCAAAAAGTTGACATTGGATGGTCAATTTGGATCTGGGAGAGGGTCTTAACCCTTCCTTCTACATCATCTTTCAGATTAAAATATCCCCTCCAGGTACTCCAAACCGCTAATTGCATGTTACATTTTCCCAAATGGGGCAAGTAACAGACTGGGTGAGGGTATTTTAATCAAGAAACGAGTTCAGGGAGAAAGGATTAAATATTCTTCCCAAGTGACATGGTCCCAATCCAAATCATCCATCCCTTATATGTTGTTTGCACACACACAAAATCAGACCTGTCATCTTGACTAGTTTGGCCCTGAAGCATTCAAGTTTTTAATCAACCTTTTCATCAGTGAGTAGCAGGTTCCCACTCGGAACCACTGCTCAGAATCACCCCTTGTTTTTATCCACTAGTCAATTCTTGTTTCTTATTGTGAGGATTTCACAAGGTTTCATTGAGGTGCCAAGTCGTCATAGGTTTGATGTGTTGTTTTTCTACCAACAAATGCATATCTACTTCTATAACTCATGGTCTTAGGACAACGTAGACATGATGTGGGAGATTCATGATTAGGAATGCCCATGGAATTTATTTTAGCAGCCTTACATGGAACTGATGCTCTTGGTTTGAGTTTAAAACTTTTTTCCTTGTCCGTTTCCCACTGGCACTTTCCTTGATGTAAATTACACTCCTAATTACACAAAGCTACTATTAGCTCCACAGGGCATATGTGTGTGATGGGCTTAGATGCTGTGCAGCTGGGTTCCCACTGCCCCACAGCACCTCATAGCCACTTCGGTGCAGGTATGGTTATGATCAAGGAAAGAGCTCAAGAGGAAAGAAAAACCAAGGGAGAATCTAATCAGAGAACTCCAGTAGCCTAGTCTATTTCAGCTGGAATGTCTTTCCTGCGTATGCAGTATAGACTCTAACCATGTTGTAATTGCTTTCTCTGTTGAGGATGAGGAATCTGTGGACTTGCTAGATGTTGTTGGACTGCAAGTCCCAGTAGCCCCAGCTAGCATGGCTATTGTTTGGGTGATGATGAGAGTGTTAATCAAGCAATAGCTGGAGGGCCACAAGTTCCCCATCCCTGCTGTAAGCAATTCCTGATGGAGAGTAAACCAGGCAGAGCTAGTCTGCCAGCCAGTGGTTTCATAAATTCCTTTTAAATTCTGGTTTCAGATCTGAAGGGTGCTACTTCAAGCACCATAAAGTGAATAAGTGATTCCAGACGTGCTATATTACAATTTATTTCTCACTTTATTTCTTGCAAAAGGAAAGGCTGGGTCACATTGGACCTGAAGAATTTGTTCAAGCATTTGTCCATAAAGATCCTTTGGAAAGCACAAAGGTATGACTAGCACTATTGTTGCTGCTGCTATTTCCAGTTGCATTTAGTGGTGGACCTACATTTTTTGGGCCCTGAAGCTTAAACTGAGATGGGGGCCCCATTGCAACCAGAAATGAGGTCTGAGTAACCACTGTTATCTTCTTCTGTGGGTTTGTTCTATGACAGATCACCACCATTTATTTATTTTTAAATTAACTACTGCATCTCATACAGTGGTACCACGGGTTAAGTACTTAATTCATTCCGGAGTTCCGTTCTTAACCTGAAATTGTTCTTAACCTGAAGCACCACTTTAGCTAATGGGGCCTCCTGCTGCCGCTGCGCTGCTGGAGCATGATTTCTGTTCTCATCCTGAAGCAAAGTTCTTAACCCGAGGTACTATTTCTGGGTTAGCAGAGTCTGTAACCTGAAGTGTACGTAACCTGAAGCGTATGTAACCTGAGGTACCACTGTATTTGGATTAAAATAGCTGCACTGACATGTCAAAGTCACTGGTGTGAATAAAAATTCCCTATGCTTATAGCTTAGTACTTATAGCTTTCGAGTTATAACTCTGTTGGTAGAGTATGAGACTCTTAATCTCAGGGACATGGGTGTGAGCCCCACATGGGGTGAAATATTCCTGCATTGCAGGAGGTTGGAATAGATTATCCTTGTGGTCCCTTCCAACTGTTTTATGATTCTGTGGTGGGGTGAGAATGAGGGAAAATTAGGGAAATATTATATACATGCATGATGGACGTTTTAAAGCATTTTTTCTAAGCAATGTGGAATAAAGTTGCTTCTGGGGCCCCCTCTGGAATTAGGGACCCTAAAGTTTACAATTCATTAGTTTCATAGTAGATCTGTCCCTGGTTGCATTACCCATTCTGAGTGAGCAATTCAAAGAGTGGGATGTGCAGCAATTGGGACTACACAGTAGGCAGTACACATCTGTTTATATTTATAGGGAGGCGCCTGGAACATGTTTTTCAGAGTTGCATGAAGCTGTGGTGTTTAGGACATGGTGCTCATGCACACAGTGTACATTTGAAATAAGTCCACGGAACCATTTCCTACCTGATGTTCTTTTGGGGTTTCAAATGCCCCTGATGTGCACCTTGTAGCTGAAATAAGAAGAAAAGCGTGGTTTTGTATTGGTAATTAGAGAGTGCATATTTTAATATTCTGTGCTGCAATCCCAGTAGGGGGGAAATTAGCCTCTGCCTGTGCATAGTCAGCTCCTTGCTTGTTAACGTCAAGGGCAACATGCCCATTAGTGTCTGTGAGAAAGAAAATAGGAGAAGGTGCTGCTTTATGCACTATTGGTGCACAGATAATTCTTCAGAAGCAGGTTTTGGCATGTGACTAGCTGGATGTAATCACAATGCAGTAACTAAAAGCAAAGTATTCCTAAGACTGATAATACAGCATCTGTAAGGCTGGTACATTGGAGATGAAATACGTTAAAGGAAACTTCTTAATGCAGCATAAATTTCTGATGGCTAGGAAATTTTGTTCACTTACAATGCATACAAAAAGAAGTAAAGAATATTCATTGAAACAAAAGAACAAAATACCTGGGGTGATAGTATGAGGAAAGTGGCCCCTTCCCTCGTTGGACTACAGACCTATTGCATTAACATCTGTAGTAATGAAATGCTTTGAGAGATTGGTCCTTCAACACCTTAGGACATGTTTTCCACTGGATTTTGATAAACATCAGTTCGCCTATAGGAGAAATAGGTCAACAGATGATGCCATAGCTACAGCCTTTCACCTTGCAGTGAGTGAGACCGGGGAATTATGTTAGAATGTTGTTTATTGATTATAGCTCGGCTTTTAATACCATCCTTCCGGACATTCTTATCAAAAAGCTGATGGAACTAGACCTACCTTCTACCATCTGTGACTGGATCAAAGACTTTCTGAGGGATTGGACACAAACAATGAGGATTGGGCGTGTTACATCTACCTCCCTGAAGCTCAGCACTGGCACCCCACAGGGATGTGTGCTGACTCCTTACCTGTACTCGTTGTATACATATGACTGTATTTCATCTGATTCATCCACTGTAATTATTAAGTTTGTCGATGATACTACCATAATGGGTCTAATTACAGGTGGGGATGAATGAGCGTACAGAGGGGAGGTTCAAAAAGTATCTACATGGTGCTTAGAGAATGACTTGCACCTGAATATTAGCAAGACAAAGAAGATGGTATTGGACTTTCGGAGGAAGAGAGGGGAACTAGCCCCGTTGTATATCGGAGCAGGGGGTTGTGTGGAGAGAGTCTCTTCATTAAAATTCCTGGGAGTTTACCTTAGTGAAGACCTCACTTGGAAAAACAATATAACTCAGGTGGTTAGGAAGGCCCAACAGAGACCCCACTTCCTCAGGGTCTTGCGAAAGAACAATGTTAAACAACAATTGATGACCTCCTTCTACCGGTCCATAATAGAAAGTGTCCTCTCATATTGTATCACAGTGTGATACGTTGGCTTGACAGCCATGGACAGAAAGTCTTTACAGAGGGTGGTGAACACAGCACATGATATCATGGGCTGTCCCCTGAGCCTGCTAGATGACATTGCAAGGGATGGTTGCCTTAGGAGAGCGAGAAAAATTCTCAGGGATGATTCACACCCCAGCCAGCACCTCTTTAATCTTCTACCCTTGGGCAGGAGATATAGAAGTATAATCAGTTGTACAAACAGGCTAAAAAACAGTTTCTATCTGTGGGCTGTTAGGCTGCTGAACAGAAAATAATATAGTGCAACAGACTTTCGGGGTTGGTGTGTTATGCGACAAGCACACAGAGTGCAATGAGATTGAGTGTTTGGGGGGGGAGGCTCTGTTAATTTTGTTGTACACAGGTTGTACATTGACAATAAAGGTGGTATTATTATTATTATTATTATTATTATTATTATTATTATCAGCAGACGTTGCACAAATCAACAAATACCTCAAAATTAGCCATGTGTCTTGCAACATCTTCCATCCATTTTCCAGTGGGATTTTAAAGGGGAGCATGTTGTGCTTTTGCTTCTTATTTTGCTGGGATTGAGTTAGGGTGCTTGGTCACTGCATTATTTGTTGCGGGCTATGGGAGGAAACTGCCTTTTGATTTCATTGGCTTCCAAATAATTTTTTGGGTCTGTAGATTATTTTGACCGCCAAACTGCAACTCAGAGAACTTTAATTTCCTTGCTGCTTTCTTTCCTCAAATTGGCCTGTCATCTTCTCCTCTCCACAATTGCTTGTGATGCATACATATCCTCAAGTGCTGCTCAGTTCAGCAGACAGGAATAGGGGCAGAAAATGGGACTCGGCGAGGTGGGGGGCACAGGCAAGAAGTGGTGCCATTCACCTGATCTCCAGTTGTGCTGGGGAATGTAAAGATTTAATACACATCTCTAAGTGATAACCAAGAAAACCTTTAGATTAGATGATAAAATGAGGACACAGTAGTAAATGTTGGTTGAAACAGAAACATGTCTACACTAAAACTGAATCAGATTTTAAAAAGCAGGCAATGGAGCGTTCATAGAATCATAGAATTGTAGAGTTGGAAGGGACCACAAGGGTCATCTCGTTCAACCCCCTGCAAGGCTGGGATAGCTCAGTTGGTAGAACATGAGACCCTTAATCTCAGGGTTATGAGTTTGAGGTCCCATATTGGGCAAAAGAGTCCTGCATAGCATTTTGTGTACCAGTTGTGTCATCTTGTGATAAGGGTGCATTATTGTCACAAAGTACAGGGTGTGGCACAAATTGCAGCTTTGCACTAGCACAACCATCCTTACATGAAACATTTCATATTTGTTTGCTAATCTTTGTGTGTATGTATGCACGCACATGCATGCATAGTCGAAAGACAGTGACTGACCTAAGCTACTAAATTAAATTAAGGGGGAAAAGTTGAGATGATGAAATGAGGACATAGGAGTCTATGTTGGTTGAAACCGAAAGACTTCTAGAGTGAGACTAAATTGAACTAAAAAAAACAAGGCGTGGAGATGTTGAGTGCTATGTTAATGGATGCCCAAAGGCTTTGCGTGCCATGGAGCATTAAATATACTTGGATATAAAAGAATCCAAGTATAGCAACGGGAGAAAAGTACAAGGAGTAATTAAGGATAATGTAACAAAATATGAGATGGAGATGACAGAAGAGAACAGTGTGTGAATTCCAGAGAGTGAATGGCAAAGTGGCGGAACTAGAATTCAAACCCATTTTGTCAACTAGAAAATAAATACTAATATGGGTAGCTTCACCTAACTAAGATTTAATGAATGGTTATATTCATTAGATGATAAGGTGCTGCTACATGACAGACCTGCTGGATACGCAAGAGAGTCAAAAGGGGGGGAAATTACAGCAAGCCATGGATCCAGAAGCAAACTGTGACCCTGCTCCTACAAAGGGAGTGCAACCACATAGCGGCAGGCAACTTCTCAGACCCAGGAACTACTTACCCACAATGGCTCTGTCTTGCTAGGATTCAAGCTCAGCTTATTTTACCTTATCCATTTCACCACTGTGATCAGCCAATGGCCCATTGTGGTACTATATTTCATAGTTTAACTTGATCATTTTGGTTGCCCTTTCCTGGACCTTTTCCAGCTCTGCAATAACCTTTTTGAGGTGCAGCAACCATATACGGCATTCCAAGTGCAGTTGTATCACAGATTTGTGTAACAAGGGTTATGATATTGGCAGTTTTATTTCAATTCCCATTCCTAATTAGCCCCAACATGAAATTTGCCTTTTTCACAGCTGCTGCTTGCTGAGTTAACATTTTCAACAAGCTATCCTCTGTGACCCCCAAGATCCCTTTCCTGGCCATTCACGCCGCTTCAAACCCCATTAATTCAGTATGAGCAAGGCACTTCCTCCTGCTGCCATGCGCTGAGACAGAGAAGCAAGAGTTATATTTATTGAATTTGCATCACATCATACTGCAATGGGCTCCAGGCTGCTTACATTTTAGAAGGGCCTCCTGTTTCGTGTGATTCCCCAATGCCCCCTTTTAATCTTCTTTAGCCTTAGGATACATTTCTACAATACAGATATATGTGCAAACACTGCAAACACTCAAAATCCCAGGCAACACTCTTTCCCAGATTACCCTATGCATGAGAGCCCCTTTTCGCTAACTTCGTCCTCATGGAGCTCACAATTTACTCATCTTATCCTCAGGCTCTAAAATAGAAATCAATTATCACATTAATGAAAGAAAGAAAAATCTTCTGATACCCTCTAGTGGCTGCAAACAAAAAATAATAGGGGGAAAAATCAGAATAATCAGCCATCTCTGGAAGATTATCCTAAGGAGAAGGTGGTAAAAGGTGCTGGAGGTGATTTAAAATCATCAAAAGAATTCAGATACCAAACTAACCTTCTCACTCCCATGCAATTGCCTAGTAACCACAGCCGAAAGAGCACGTCACAAAAATGACATTTCCTGATGAATTTTGCCATCTGAGTGACTTGTTTCACAGCAACCAATGATACAGAAATAGGTCAGCGATAAAGAATTGGGTAGTGAAGATATTATTTTCTCAAAGACAAGAGCATGTGAAGGAAATAATATTTTAGGCAAAAAAATATTCTGTACTGTAACTCTATCATATTTTGCTTTGCTGTTGATTCCCCCCAACTTAATCAGAAATTTTGTTTCATGCAAGACAACACCATGGGCAATTGGATTTGCCAAACTGTAGGAACTCTTGGGAGTCAAAGGCGTAAACTTAATACATATTACATGGAAAGGCGTCCTTGTCTGATTTTATTTTCTCCAGATTCTTGTTGCATACAGCAATATCCTGGCTGTTAATATCCTAGGGAGCACCAATTGGAATAAATTGCCTCGTGTGCAATTGCTGTAGGCAAAGTGGGACTGTTCATCATTCACTGATTTGATTTGTAGAAAGCTTTGCATTCTGTTAAGCCCAACACATCTGCCACTACCCACCCACTGACATCTAAAGCTCTGTCCCACATGCACGGTCCATTTATGTGTGTGTGTGTGTGTGTGTGTGTGTGTGTGTGTGTGTGTGTTTGTGTTTATAGGTATATGTCCACATGCTTTTGAATGTTGTTGATGATAGAAATGTATGCTATTGATCATAGAACAAGACTCTGCAGTTACTGTGATATTATATATCTTATTATATATATTAAAGCACAGCAGAAGCTAGTTTATGTCATGTCAGGTCTTTGTTTTTCAGCCTTGTTTCAGTGAACAGAAAAAAACTAGCAACCTTGAGGCCTATGTCAAATGGTTCAATAGACTCTGCTATCTTGTAGCAACAGAAATCTGCATGGTAAGTTGAATACCATTTGTCTGATTGTGGAACTTTGAGACTATTTACTCACAAAAGTGGAGCATATATATATATATATATATATATATGGACTAATCACAGAATGTACTTTGGGTTTTTACACTTTTTATACTTTTCACAGAAACACTGCGGTATATAAATGGTGAAATAGGCTATTGATGCAGCGATAGAGCAGTAATTTTGCTGTAGAATTTTAGACAGTTGTGTCTCATAAGTGGACTGTGTATTAACAGTTTTCCTCTTGCCCTGCTCCTCTCCTGGGGAAAACTCTTAACTTTAGTATTAAATTGGAGTATTAACTGGAGTATTAAATTGGAGCATCAATCTGGAGAAAACCTGAATTGCTCTTTGTTCCAATTGAACGCTGTTGGTTGGCATCTGTCTGTATCCAACTAACATGTCCCATGCACAAGATTAACACTTGTGCAGTAGAGATCCCCCTTTCCTCCTCCTGCGTGCAGCTGGAGCACTCACCAAATCTTCTCCAGGTGGGGTGGGGAAAACCCTTAGAACAGATTTAGGAGGTGCATGAGGGGAGGGGGTGAAGTTCCATTGTGCAAGCAGAGATATTGCAATGATGGTGCACATTAGTTGGATACCAACCTTTGAATGGAATAGACTTGTACAGTAAATAATGGAAATAACTTATTATTGTGTTTTCTTCCCATCATGGTCTTAAGGAAAACCAAGCAGAAGTATGGGGTGCTATCGTTATAGTATCACCCTGTACCATTTGGTTGTTGAACTAACCCAGGCTACACACTCCCCATACATATAAAGCATTTGTCTTCCCCCAAGGAATCATGGGAACTGTAGCTTGTTAAGAGTGCTGGGAACTGTTGCTCTGTGAGAGGTAAACCACAGTCCCCAGTATACCTTGGCAGAAGTCATGTGCTTTAAACGTGTGGTGTGTATGCAGCCTTATCTGAGAATGTTTGGGATAACTATTCTCTTGCCAAGACCTATCTGCCTAAAGATGCCATGTACATGTGTATAGGAGGGAGAGAACACAGGTATTCCTGCTCACCTCAGCTCTAGTCCACTCCCTAGTGCTATGTGGCCCTTGACCATTTCCCCCAGAGAAAATATGGCCCTTGGCTTAGAGGCTGCCCACTCTACTTCTAGAACATACGGAAGTGCCCATTGTTTGTGACAGAATACTGGGTAGACTGATGGTAGGTAATTTTCACTATATCCGTTTTCAGCTAAATCTCTTTCACGATTCAATCCTTCTGACTTTAACTTCCTTTGTTATCATTAAAAAGAGATGGGAGCACAAAAAACACTTGTGAAATGATGAACATTGTATAAAATTTGAAATTATTGTGAATTGAAGATATTAAGGACGTGGATTTACAAATGTAAAACGAAAGAACCAAGAAGGGAAGTGGAGGAAAGTCAGGGGATTTTGGAAATCCCACACTGGGGAGTTGTGAGGTTTTTATTTTCTGTTATTGTAAAAATTAATTTAAAAATATTATAAAAGAGAGAGATGGGAGCAGGCCCAGATTAAAGCAACTGGAGGTCTTGGGAGGCCCTGGGCTAGGAGGACCTAGGAGGCCCAAACTTAATAGCATTTGATCATGAAAAGCAAAACATTGTTACTAAGCAATTGGGCCTGGTTAGTAAATCTTTTTTTGTATTTTTTGTATTGTTTCATTTTATTAAAAGCAAGAAGCTGAGGGCCCCCTTAGATTATGAGGCCCTGGGCTGTATCCCATGCAGCCCATATGTAAATCCGGCACTGGATGGGAGTATTGTGAGATACAAGAAACACAAAAGAAAATTCTCCAGAAATCTACTAATTTCAAGATTAATGTCTTTTCTCTCCTCTTAAGACCAAGTCCAGAAAAAAATTGCACTGATTGGCGCCAAGCCCAGAAAAAGTTACAGTAATTGACATTTTATTGATAGCTAGTTGGACAGACTATTAGTGGAATTAATAGTCTTTAGAGTACAGGTTTATGTGTCAATGTTGGGTCATTGCTTGAAGACATTTTTAAAGGTATAATAGACTTTGGTCACTCTCCCTGGTAGGATCCTTGATTTTGCAAGTTGCCAGCAATGAGTGTCATTAATCAAACAGCTTGAATGGGATTTTGTAGCTGTTTTGAAATCAATTGAACTGTAGAATAGGGCATCTCTGTCTGACACAGTGTTCTGACATCTCACAGGGGTTTTTTTACACTTGTCTTCCATAGCTGTTTTATCTGTCTGTTTATTTGCAGCCTGCAAAAAAGAAGCAGAGAGCACAAGTCATTGAGTTTTTCATTGATGTTGCTCGCGAGTGCTTTAACATCGGGAATTTTAACTCGCTGATGGCAATCATATGTAAGTGTGTTATTGTCATTTCTGAATTATATTAAGGATATGTAAAGTGGATTCCCTTTCCTAATTGTTGTAACCTGCCCTGGGACCTTAGGGTGAAGAGTGGATAATAAATTGTAATAATAGTAACAATAACAATAACAATAACCGTAACAGCAACAGCAACAGCAACAACAATAGCAGCAACCACAACAATAAAGTCTTCCTCTGTTCTTTTTCCTCTTATTTTCCTCCAGCCGGTATGAACATGAGTCCAGTCTCCAGGTTAAAGAAGACTTGGTCAAAAGTGAAAACAGCCAAATTTTTTATCCTTGAGGTAAAATGTTCAGAATTACGTATTTGCTATTCATGCATTTATTTAAACCAAATATTGCTAGGCAAGGGCCAAATGATATGATTGGCTTTGCATATCACATTAAATTAAAGATGGTAAAGAAGTAAAAAGCAGAAATATCAGGAATAAAGTCCAGACCACAAATAAGTGCACAAATGTATTCTTTTCCAGTCTTGTCTATTTAGCGCAGGCCATGGTTAAGAGCTATACTGAGTTCTGGTGTTATCTTGACTTAACTAGCAACCCTCATGCTAGGATTGACGGGCATTAAAACCAGAGAATATATCAAACAGCTACCAAGTTATGGGCAATCAGTGCCTGAAATCTGTCAGCAGGGGAAATTGCGCATCAGACTATCCCGTGGTAATTTTGGAAATGTCTGTATTTGCTTGGAATCAATTGTGAGGCTCACTGCTGAGGTTCCTATGATAATGTAAGTTAGGCAAGCCATTTCCTCTGTAGAGTACTTTCAGAATATCATTTTAAGGAGCAACCCTCAGGTATACCTGTGCTTCTTAATTCAGTTAACAAGTTCTACATACTATACAACTGTTGCTACCGCTTCAGTCAGTCCTTCTTGCCACACACCTTTGCTTGTCTTGGTACAAGTGGGCTCTCTCTTGAAAAACCGAGTGGACTGCCAGTTTGTCCAGCATACAAAGTTGAAGTAGGCCTGTCTCATTTGTAGATGTATGTGCATGTTCACACACACACACACACACATGCATAAGTGTTTGGTGTAATTACATGGTCGCACCACTGTACAATCCTGGCATTGCTCTGCACTCCGGAAACAGATTAATCGAGGAGTGGCAGTTGCCGTTTAATATTCTGCCATTAGGGTAAACCGTGTGTGATCTGTGTGTTTGTCTGTGCCTAACAACAACAAAATAAGTAGTGACCACTAACAACAACAACAAAAATCATCATATGGAAGCATCTTTAGAAGCACTCTTAGAGGACTGAAGGGTTTTTATCATGACAAAAATGTTACGGACTGGTCACTCTTAAGAAACTAGATGAAAATAAATGAATAGAAATTGACCTGAAAAGGAGGTGTTGAGTAGTTTTGTCTCTAGTTCACCTGTATTGCTTACCACATCAGCTTTGCACTGCAAAGGCAATTCAAAATATCTTTTGATCTTCCAATGTTTTCTTCCTCTCTAGCATCAAATGGACCCTACAGGTAATTTTTATAACTACAGAACTGCATTGCGGGGAGCTGCACATCGGTCCCTAACAGCACACAGCAACAGGGAAAAGGTATTATTATCATCATCATCATCTTATTTTTCCGCCAAGAAGCTCAGCACAATACAGTGGACTCTCGGGTTGCGAACGTGATCTGTGTGCATCTGCGCACGCGCGGGTTGCAATTCGGTGCTTCTGCACATGCGCGAGCCTGGAAGTAACCCGTTCTGGTACTTCCGGGTTTCAGCGGGTCCGTAACCCGAAAAAACGCAACCTGGAGCATCTGTAACCCAAGGTATGACTGTAAACATGCTTCTACACCAATATTATCCTTACAACAACAAAGGTAGGTTAGGCTGAGAGATAATTGACTGGACAAAGTCATGCAGTGAGGTCCATGACCAAGCAGCGACTCAGCCTGTGTCTCCTTCACCTGCTCCAGATCACCATGCTGCCCTGGAACTGTTTCTTTTCACAGCCCATACTGGCTGGTTTTATAGTTGTTCATCTTTTCAGCATCCCTGCATGAGAGGCAAAATACTGTGATATTCTGAAGGTTGCATCCAACTGTTGCTCAGCTGTCAGTGTCTTCTATCAGTAGAGCAGGGAGGGAAGAAATACTCAGTGATTCCTCATTCCCCCACTGGAGGGTTCCCCAGCCCTCTGGAGCAGAGGCAAGACAATGTGGTGCAGGTCCTTTGAAATGAAGATTCTGCAATTATATAGGCTCCCTGATTGCCTCAGCTGCAAGTAGCGAGGTGGGGAAGAGCCCACACCACTGGGGAATCTTTTGCCCTAGTCTGAACAAATAGATCCATAGGGAGATGATAAGAGGTATAATAAGGAAGGATATATATAATAAGGAAATGAATATGAGACAGCCACATTCATGCTTGAATGAGAAGCTGATACTTTTAAGATGCTTATGCAGTCTGTCTCTAAGGTATAGCCATGCAAGCCTGTTTCTCTATTACTTATCTCATTTCCTGTGGAAGTCATTCATGCTGGTTACATGGGAAAGTTTCTCTTTAAAACCAAGGGCAGCAGAAGGTTAATAGTCAGATGGAAACGCAAGGGATAAAGACTACATCCTCCTTTAACTGAATGCATAATGTGATAGTTGCCAAGAAGGTGTTTATGCATCAAATCCAGACCTCATCATGGTTTGGTGTTTTCAAATCCCACAGCCACTATAGCTGTAATTCTGCTCTCCAAGCCTTAATGTCATTTCTTCATATTTTTTTAAAAAATGTAATATTTTTACTCACCCTGGGTCAAATGAAATGAAATGTGATTGCTATTAATTTAAAGATAAATATTGTCCACTGCTGGTTATATATCCAAGCCCTCCCTCCTTCTTTTGAAGTACCGGTATATAATATAATCTGACACTTTGGGCTTAGTTTTCTTAATGCTTGAATAGAAATGGGGGGAAAGACAGAGGTTAAATTAATTAAATCAGGTAGAGATTGAATATATTTTTTGAAAGTTAAAAAACACAGCTTTGAGTTGTGAGTTGCTGTGGAAAGTGTGCATACCCACACGCATACAGAGGATTCGTTATTTGAATGGAAGTGTATATTACATCATGGAGTGGATTTTTTTCTAGGCAAGTGCAGGAGATGAATATCTTAAGACCTTAATTGACTATCTGATTTGACTTGCAAATTCTCAGCACGTTGAAGCAGACACAGTGACTGCTGCTCACAGTAGACTACACATTCAATGTGTCATGCATTCCAATGGACTGTTATCAGAAAGTAACTGTGTGGAGAATTTAATTTAGGGCTATGCAGAAGAATAGGATCTGAACAGGGAAGCCAAAATGACATTCTTACATTGTGTATTGATGCTTTCTACTTTTGAAAGCTGGGGTACATTCCACGACTCTTTGTGTTTGATTTTTAAAAAATTGTTTATACTGTAGTTAAGTCATTCATTGTTTATTTACATAATTTATATCGTGCCCCTTCAATATGTATTTACGCTTCCAAGACACTCAAGAAAAAGGAAAAGTACAAAAAAGCATACAGTAATAGTAAAAAAGAAGAGAATGACGTGAAATTTAGAAATAGTGGGGCCCTCTTTGTATGACAGACAGAGTGGGAGTGAGTGGGGAATTCTAACTGTTGCCCTTAGTGTAGGTTTTTTTAAATCATGGGATTGTTAATTTGTTCATGTGATTTATTGGGCTTGTTTTCATGGATTCCGTGATTTCCATATATTATTTTTTCCATATATTATCTTTATTACTATTAATAATAATATTCCCCACCCCACCCTGGGATTGAAATATTCACTGAAGAGCAGGTTTGAATTTAGAAATAATAAAGAAAACTACAATATAATAAATAGGGTTGGGGAGCAATCTTTACCTCTATGCACACCTCTCAGCTCAGCTCAGCAGGGCTTTTTTTTTTTTTTTTTTACTGCCTTGCCAAAGTTGGCAGCTGGGCCAAAAGGTGGGGGGGGGGGTGTCAGACAGATCACTGTACCAACCTGCACCTCCCATGCCTTCATGTGATGGCTGCAGGTCTGGCTCAGGATCCAGCAGATCCCAGGACAGCTCAGCCCCACCCCCTGGAAGGCTCTATTTTGTTGGGTGAAAGAAGCTGTGCACCAGCTCAGTAATGCTGGCATCACTCTGCAGTTGCGGTCTGATTCCCTCGGCCTGAAGCAAGATGAGTGCCGAATCCCATAGTTGCCTTTGACTGGACTTAACTGTCCAGGGGTCCTTTACCTTTACTTTTTTACCTAATGAGGGCACCCGGCAGGCCCCCTGAGGGGATTGCAAAGGTGAGGAGGCTCTCTCTGTGTAGTTGCCAGCAATTACACTTGAGATTGTAAGGGACGCGGGTAGCGCTGTGGTCTAAACCACAGAGCCTAGGGCTTGCCGATCAGAAGGTCGGCGGTTCAAATCCCTGCGACGGGTTGAGCTCCTGTTGCTCAGTCCCAGCTCCTGCCCAGCAGTTCGAAAGCATGTCAAGAGCAAGTAGATAAATAGGTACTGCTTCAGCAGGAAGGTAAACGGCGTTTTCGTGCACTGCTCTGGTTCACCAGAAGTGGCTTAGTCATGCTGGCCACATGACCCGGAAGCTGTCTGTGAACAAACGCCGGCTCCCTCGACCAGTAAAGTGAGATGAACGCCACAACCCGAGAGTCGTCTGCGACTGGACCTAACGGTCAGGGGTACCTTTACCTTTACCTTTTACACTTCAGATTGTGTAGTGAAGAAAGGTCTCAGGTGGCTGTCTCAGTGGACAGGCTGACTGATGTGAGAGAAGGCACTCTTAACAGGTATTTTGGGCCTAAGCCATGTACGGCTGTAAAGATTAAGAGCAACAGTATGCAGAGGCGAAGCAACCTGCTCCAGTACCCGGAACAGTGTTCATCCCAGTGGGCGTGGCGCATGGCCCAGGGGGGGTGCGCGTCCTGGGGGGATGCGGAGAGCGGTGCGTGCCCCGGGAGGTGCCGCCAATCAGGGGTCAGCATCTTGTCATCCCCCCCTTTGGAATGGCATCCGGGGCGGCCACACACCCCCGTAATGCCCCTGACAGTATATCTAGCATAGTTGCACCAACCCATTTCATGTAGCAATTCATAGGAGGGTCAGAGCTTGAGGATACCGTATTTTTTGCTCTATAAGACGCACCAGACCACAAGACGCACCTAGTTTTTGGAGGAGGAAAACAAGAAAAAAAAAATTCTGAATCCCAGAAGCCAGAACAGCAAGAGGGATCACTGCGCAGCGAAAGCAGCAATCCCTCTTGCCGTTCTGGCTTCTGTGATAGCTACGCAGCCTGCATTTGCTCCATAAGATGCACACACATTTCCCCTTACTTTTTAGGAGGGAAAAAGTGAGTCTTATAGAGCAAAAAATACGGTACTTTATGTGCTCTTCTAATTATCTGCCTAATGATGACTCTTTCATCAGTCCCTTGGCCCAGCCGGTGACAGTGCACTAATTTCAGCTGCGTCAAAATGATCTCTCACACACCTTCCATCTACACACACACATGTACACAAATATACCAGAAAATACAAAATAGGTTAAAATACATATCAGAAATCCAACTTACAACATATACAGATAAATCATGTGAAAAGCAATGTGTGAAGTGGTTAGAATGCAGCATTCTTGTTGATGTGTGGCAATCAGAACTGCTCACAGTATTCCAAGTATGGTTGCAGCACGTGATGACATTATGATATTAGCAGATTTCACTTCAATCCATTTCCTAATGATCCCTAACATAGCATTTACCTTTTTCACAGCTGCCAGCCACAAACTGGGTTAACATTTTCAACAAACTATCCACTATGACCTCAAGATCTTTTTCAGTCAGTCATTCACCGCCACTTTAGACCCTATTATCATCAGTGATGTAGATATGAATTTTCCCCAGAGTGCTCTGTTTTTCTGCAATTTTCTGTGTCGTAAGGTCATTAGTAACAATGAATGGCTGCCAATTGCAAATAAGAAATCAGGCTAGCTTTGTTTACTAAACACAAGGAAATAAACATGCTAAGTTAGGCTATTCTCTAGGGCATCAGAACATTATCTGTTGCAAATTACCGTATGCAAATTATCCTAATTTGTGGAAGCACTGATAATTATATCCTGTTACAATTCACTTACTAGTGGAACCACATTAGGGCTAATTTTTCAGTATGAAAATTGGCTTTTGATAGGGGAGAGTGACAGGAGAGGAGCAGCTACATTATCCTTTTAACATACACTTACTTTTGTTTTGTGAATATTTTAGCTTCAGCAAGGGCAAACTCCCTCTTGGGATTCCCAATGGCTTTCTTTTTTCGATGCACATACTGCTCAAGCACACCAGTACCATAAATAACTTGAGGACATTGGTTGCCAAACCAAATGACTACTTTACTGCTACACTTTTCCAGAGTCTTACCTTTCCTCAAGGCTATAGTACTCTAGTGTGTACTTAAGTTACAGTTCAGTTCATTTACCAAAGGACCTGGGGATATATTTGAAAGATATGCCCAGCTGACTTATTCATTCTCACTTTAATAGAAACTATAGCTCCTGTAGGAGAGACAGGAATTCACTAGCTAGGTGAGTTTAAATCTTCTTCAGGGAGCCTGGCACAGTGTTTTGTGAGTGAAGAGGAGCTGCCCTTATAAGACCCTTGCGAGCTACACTCCAGGTCAAGTTATAGTGAAATGAATAGACCATTGTTGCTCTGCAGGATAACCTAGCAGACTTGCTTATCTACCTTTGCCCTGTCCTTGGCTGATAAAGCATCTGAGAGAAAACTGTCTACAGTGGGAAACCCAAAAAGAGAGTCAAGTATAAGGGCAGTGGCAGAGGAATATTTCACAGATTATGATTCAGCTATGTTAATGTTTTAAGTTTATATTACTCAACTATTATTTTCATATATAAAAGTATTTATAGACCACTATTTCACTGTAAAAAAAATCAAAGCAGTTTAAAACAAAAGTACATAAAGCCATATAGTGAAAACCATATAGTCCCCAGACTTGGTAAGTTAAGCATAGTTCCGAATCTGAATAAAAAATAAATATGGTATATTTTGGTATATACCAAACATGGTATAAGACAAGATAGATACCCAATGTAAATCCATGTTGCTTCATTTGATACTTTTGAAATTTATACCAGGTGAGGATCAAACTTAATGTGAAACATCCAGCAGATAGGTACCAACTTCACGGCATATCTTTCGTTCCCTCCTGTGAAAATTCTTTAAATCAGAGCCTTCGTCATGTTAAGTCATGAGCATCTACTTTTCTATATGTTGGCTTGATTGGGGTTTAATTGTTAATGCTCACTTCATCAAGGGCTTATGCAACTACGTTGTGCTCTTTGCCTCTTTACTGTCTGTACACTGGTGAAAGTTAATCACCTTGCTTATTAAAATGTTAATGTTAACAAAATGATGTTAAATATCGATGTTACTGAAATATTAATAGGTAATAAACTGAAACCTTAATTCCACAAAGCTTAGATAGATTGTGTTTTGCCAATTCACATAGAAAATCTCTTCAGCATGACAGCTATTTTGTGGGTTGTTATCTCTTGTATCTCCTCTAGGCCTCACTAGTATTAGTATTTCGTCATTAGAGTAGTACTGTACACTGAAAAGTTAATCTCTCTTTTCTTCTTGTGAATGAACAGTTCTTTCATGCATAAAGAACAGAACTGCGAAAGATAATAGTCATGTCATTCTTTTCACAGATTGTGATCCCCTTCTTCAGCCTACTGATCAAAGACATTTACTTTTTGAATGAAGGATGTGCCAACCGCCTTCCAAATGGACATGTCAACTTTGAAGTAAGTGCAGCAAACATCTTTGTCAAGCAAGTGGTTGATAGGTTCTTTGAGCCCTTGTGCTTACATTCCTGAGTACAACGAAAAGCATACGTGAACAAAAAATTATTACCTTGATTACCCCCAAAGTCAAACAATTCCCAGCAGACTTTTTCATATAAATCCTTTAAACATTTTTTACTTGAGTTTTCAATTTCAGATGGCATGATCCAAAAGCTCATATGCAGAAACACCATGCACACACTGGGGGTTTCCCCAACTCCCTTTCATGCAGAACCCCCCCAAACTACTAAAAAGTTATCTCCCCCTTCAGAGATTTTAATTTTTTTGTTTTACATGTTTTAAAACGTAGAGCAGTTGGTGGGATTAAACTTCTGGTTCATATTCAGTGCCACCAAAACTGTTGTAATTTTAAATTCCAAGTGTTGCATGAAATGCCTGTTATTTAAAACACAGTTTAATAGCAGCAGAGGAAAAGAGTAGCCTGTGTATTATGTGAGACGTGTGCATTGCTTACCTGAGATATGCAGATTTTATTACAACTCCATAACTCTTTTCTTTATTCTTTAAAATATTTCTATACTGCCTTTCATATTCAGTTACCAAAGCACCATCATTTCCTTTTGTGTGTTAGAGAAACACAAGGAAAGCTGTGCTGGACAAACAATCCACTTGCTCCTAACTTTTAAAAATAATATACCAGACACATTAAGCAGCTAACATTTTTGAGGAATGTTAAAACCACAGAAATAATTTTACTGACACACAAATTCTGTTTACCTAGACTTTTTCTTCCCCAATCCTTACAGAAATTCCTGGAACTGGCTAAGCAAGTAGGTGAATTTATAACATGGAAACAAGTAGAATGTCCATTTGAGCGAGATGATAACATCATCCACTATTTACATACTGCGCCCATCTTTACTGAAGATGGTAAGAAATTCCTTTTTTTGACAAATGCTATAGTGGTTCACTACTAGCATTGTTCCATAGTTCATGATAAAATATGATTTTCAAAATGTGTCGTCGCACAGATCCATTGTCTACAATATAAGAATGATTATCTGGGCCTTGATTGTTTCCATAACTTTTTGACAAGGCATCTTGCTTGTAGCAAATCATCTGCATGCAGTGCTCACAGAGAAACAGGCCTGACAGTCATACTATGAGGGGCAGTTCTGAATGTCATTGCTGAAAGCATTCAAAGACAGAGTTACTGTTCCCTATAAGTCAACCAGTCTATCTCTCTCTTAGTTTGTGATGGCTGTAGGCAGGGAAAGCAGAGCTCAGCTCACAGCAGAGATCTAGTTACCTCTTAATATGTGCTTAAAGGGGGAGAACCCTTTCAATTCAGTTCTTTCATCATGTAATTAATCATACCCATTTGCAAATGAGTTTTTGTCTGACTTCTCTTCCTACCCATCCAATCTATCATGTTGCTCTCTGCCGTCTCCTAATGGGTTAAATCAGTCGTATCCCATTATCATCAGCATCGGAGATAAGGGCTGAGTTTGCTAGCTTTGCCTAGACATGCCCATAGGCTTCACTGACTTTTAGATTGCTTCTGAACTTTTTTGATTTTTAAAGAGCAGTCTTTAAAACTCATCCACATTAATCAAACAGGACAGCTGAGACTTCACTGGCCACACATGAATTTAGAATGTAGCAAGGAAAAATTATGTCCAAGCTGCACAAGCAACAGCTGCCCAAGCTAACATATATCTATGTAATAATTATAGTGAGCTCTATAAAAAGGAAACAAGAAGAGTGTAACTCTGTCAGTGCTCAGAGTCTTCTGGAACAGCCAAAGTAATTTCAGAAGATCTGCTATTAGAGTCCAAGACAGGAACTCTAACTTGTTTAAGTATTGATTCCAGGAAGGTGAAGCCCACAGGTTGGTAAGGAGAAAGCAGGTCTGGTAAGACTTCTGAGGCTGCCAGAGAGTCTAGGAATAAACCAGGCAGCCCAGATATAATCCACAAGTTCCAGGGGCTCTTGGCTGGAGCCTCCACAGCCCAAGCTGACTCTCCTAACCAGACTGGTTCCTCCTGTGTTCCGCGTCAGACTTTTGGCCAGTCCCTTTGCCCAACTAAGATTGCTTTGCACACTATTTCTCTTGGTTGATGCTACTTCTCATTTCAGCAGAGCTGCGACCTTCTAGATAGTGTTGGACCCCAACTCCCATCAGCCCCAGTGAGCATGGCCAGTGGTCAGGGATGTTGGGAGTTGTAGTCCAGCACCACCTGGAGTTCCCCAGTCCTGTTGTAGAAGAACCTTTTACACATTATATGTGTTGTTATCACCCGTGATGATACATACACTGATATGGTCCAGTACCAGTTGCACTAACAAGTGGTTGGTCTGAATGAAGATGCACATCTTTTCCTCTTTAGTAGAAGCTGTTTGCGGCCAATTCAGTGAATTAACATTTGAATAGGTATGGGGATGAAGATCCAGATGCACATCTGTATCTCCATTCATGCTGGCCTCAATCACCAATTAAATTTAAACTGTAGTTACAGGTATTTAAGCACTTTGAGCATGTGTTGCTTGATCCTGTGCATGCTTACTCAGATGTGAGTCCCACTAAATGTGCAGATGAGTGTCAGCTTACCTAAGAAACATAAACCTCCTTGTTTGATTAGAATGCTACCTTGTGGGCTACTGATCGTCTCAATAAGGAATGTTGCCTTTTAAAACTTCCTTTTTTTTAGGTTTGTACCTGGCTTCCTATGAAAGTGAAAGTCCGGAAAACCAAACTGAAAAAGAGAGGTGGAAAACCTTGAGGTATTATTTCATTTATGTTGGATCATGATCTTCTGAAGTGGAAATAGGTAGATATGGGCATAGAGAGGGTGGCTACTGGAGTTTGCACACATAGCTCAGCTAGCAGAACATGAGACTCTTTAATCTCAGGGTTGTGGGTTCGAGCCCCAAGTTAGGCAAAAGATTTCTGCATTGCAGGGGGTTGGACTAGATGACTCTTGTGGTCCCTTCCAACTGTATAATTTTGTTTCTGTGAACACATACACATACACACACACACGTAATGGATGACTCCTTTTAATGGAGAACCCTTTTGGGAAGGGGCAACTGATACTGGAGAAGTGGAGGAAGGAGGGCATACTACTGTGACACGCACTTGTGTGTGTAGCTTGGCTCAAAGGCAGTAATACCATAAGATACTTACTTTTGCTTAAAAGTACACTAATGGCCAGAACACAATCATGGCTGCTTGGGTTCAGATTGACCTTTGAACTAAGTCTCCAACACTTGAGAACCCTTAGGTATTCTCTTCCACCCAATTGTTACCAGTGATTAGAATAAAAGGGCACATCACATGAAGCCTAGCTTTTAGAGGATGACTTAGTTAAATGGGAGCCACTCTGCTGTGACATACTGATTCTAGAATGAACAAGCTGAATTAGATTGAAGGGTCAGGACTATTGCCTTTTTTTAAAAGTGCATAGCAATGCTCATAATATGACTTCGTTAGAAAGCATAAATACAAAAAAACTTCACTATTTAGTTTCTTTTTACTGCTACAGTAAGACAATTTTAAGACTGAAAATGCTGTTTGTGGCCACTTATCTTTCCTAAATGTGTCCTCACAATACATGGATGGAAATAGCTGGAAGATGCATGTCTTTGTGTCTTAGAAACATTTGATAATATATCGAAATGTGAGTAAGAAAAGTGGTAACATGGAGAGTGACAGTTTCCTCTATTGCTTGGTCAGCAAAGCATCTTGTTTAATATGTGCCCCAGCAGTGTATTTTGGGGGTTCTCCTGAGGTAAGGGCTACACCATTTGAGTTTCTCCTTTGCTCCAGTTACTTCCCTTGGGCATTTGACATAGCCAGTCATCTATTCAGTGCAGAACAGAAAACATGGCTATTCTGAATTACTCTTTGTCACACTAACTTTCTTGCTCTTTTACCTATTCTCACGTTTCTCCTTTGCAGGACAACTATCTTAGGAAAGACTTGAAGCTAAAGATCTATAATTGCAGTAGGACAAACAAACAAACAAACAAACAAACAAACAAACATCAGCAAAACTACTTTGCACTACTGATTCCAAAGATGCCTATTTGGGATTTATGAGATTTTATTCTTTATTTTTGTGTGCATTTTGGACTATTTGTGGTTCACTGGATTCAGAGGTGTATTTTTACTGCACGCACAATGATGTTTTCTAGCTACTCTCGAACAGCAAAAGGCCAGGAGGTGGCTTCTTCATGGCTGTACCAGAACAGAGTTCTTCTCGCTGTTTACACTTGCCTCTGAAGGAAGAGCAAATGGCACAGAGAGCCATGATGCTGCAAACACAAAAGATTTTCACTGGAAAGGTACAGGGTGTGTATCTCTGAAGCAGGGTGTATTGGACAATAACTCTCCAAGAGCTGTCAAAAGTGTATTATGCTAAACACAGCATTAATCTGGCCACTTGCTACATAAGGGGGAGGAAAACCTTGTTTTTTCCTCTACAGCTTTCAGCCTCAGTGAACAATATTCTGATGGCAGGAGATAAAAGACTTAATACAAAGCCACATCAGTATGGGAAAATCCATGCAAACGCTTCCCTTTTTAAAAAAATAATAATACAGAAGCATATGAGCTGTGAACATTCATTATTTCTCCTTATGTTTGGGGTGTATATCATTATTATTATTTCCTTACAGTCAACTGCTAAACTGTTCTGATGAAGTCAATGGCTTTCAGTCATACTTACCTCTGTATAAAGCATGTAGCATATTCTCTAGTTCTGTTGACTGATGACTCAGAGAATAGTCTTCAAAGGGGCCTTACCTCATTGACAATTGATGGAAGATTAATCTGTTAAGGGCTCTAACAGTTATTTTCCTTTTGCCTGCTCATTTTGTCTTCATGTCTAAGGCAAACAATATTTGAGAGGGGGAATTACTAGACGTTGGGGCTCTTTTTCCAGTGCATTTGAGAGAACACTTTTCACTCCATGAAATGTTGCACTTTGGTAAAAGAATTGTCTACACACTGTTCATAACGTTGGTTTCTTATTTTATAATTCTCCTCTTTATGGTCACTGCTCTCCCTCTACGTGAACAGTTTGCCATCTATTGTGTTGTTCAATAGAGATCAGGAAGCTGCCGCATAATACAAATGCCAAGTAATAATTGCTTAGTTATTGTACTTTCATGTAAAACAGATGTAACATAACTCTTTTTAATAATTTAAATATAAGTAATAGGATGGAAGTGAAACTCATATCTTTTGTCACTAACTGTATAGAACTATGGGGAGGTGTGCAAGCCTTCACTTAGTAACTGAGGCTGTTTTTGTAACAGGATTGCCAGTTCAGATGTCAACAACCACACTGTACATGTTGTAAATTTGGTCTTAGAATGACATGTGCTCACTACATATAAAAAAAGATAACTGACACTCATCTTTAGGTGCATATCAATGCATTCATGGTACAGCCAAATTTCAGGATTCTTCCATCTAAAAAAAAAAAAAAAAGCTGGAAGGAAAATAGAAGTTGGGTGTATCCTGTGAACAATTTATTGCCACACATTACTTCTCAGATGTAGTGGCAGCTGGTACAATCCACAAGAACCACCTCTGTTTCGCACCACATGTAAGCTTTTAGCATAACGATCAAGGATGAAACAGACACTCTACTGAACAAGCATTAGACACCAGGATGTCTTTGAACAGTAACTTAGCTAGACTGTTGATTTCATGCTCTGAGTGTTTACCCACATGAGACTTCCTCTGGGGCTGCTCAGAAGCTGACACTGGTGCTTTCTTTTAAATGAGGCAATCCTAACCTCTGAAATGCAACTCAATGACTGCATCTACAGGGACTTGTGTTATCACTTCTTGAAAAGCCTGTTTATACACTCCCTTGTTATTTGTGTTCTACAGTGACATCTTGTATCATGGCAGCTAATGCTGGCTTGAAAACACTTTATGCCAGTCTTTTACAAATAAGTTACTAGCTCATAAAAATGTATGCTTGCCTGCCTGCCCACCCTCCCTATGTGAATTACTTGTAGCCTAAAAGAGACTGGACAAAAAAGAGAGAGAGAAGGGGAAATATTTTGTAAGTTTCATTGCCTTGTCACCTTGGCAGATTCTTATTTGTCACAGACAACCAGGCAAGTGTCTATATACTAGCTTGCTTTGTGTGATCAGTACCACTATGTGGTAAGAGTTTTTGTTTTTAACAAAGTTTACATTTTTCGCATAGAGTGCCACAATGTAGAAGTTGTTTTGGGTGGCTGTTGCATGAGAGCTGCAGTGTTTAGACCCACTGTTAAATCTATTGAGGTCTCTTTCCGTAATGGTTTTCAGCATCTGGCTTGGAGGTAAGAGACCCGACTCTGAGAAACCTTAGAGAACAGGTGAGTTGCTGTAGGACTGGAGAAAGGGCAAAGGTTGTCTTAATCTTCAAAAGGGGGGAACCTGGCCTTTGGTACTAGAGAAGATGCTGCAGTAAAGTTAATAAAGGGTATTGTATTGCTGGAATCCTTGGTTGCATTTCTTATTGAGTTCCCTACCAGGAATGAACCAGAGGGGTGGTCTCAGCAATACCCTTGACAAACAGAATGTGAAGCAGCCAGTCTGTAAGCATCTTGATAAGCAGTGATTAGCAGAAGCCAGAATTGATTTGTCAATAATAAATTCTGCCCAACTAATCTTATCCTCCTCTTTTTCATTGGCTAACTAGTGTAATGGATTGTGGAAACATAGTGGATGTGATTTAACAAAGCATTTGGCAAAGTCCCCCGTGGTATTTTGATTGGCAAAGTGGTTAATTGTGGGCTAGATGATAATACTGTCAAGTAGATTCAGAGCTGGCTAGAAAACTACTCAAAGAGTGCTCATCAATGTTATTCATCAAACTGGAGGGTTTTAAAGTGGAGCGCCATGGTGCTTCATCCTGGATCCAGTACTCTTTAGCATCTTTACCAATGATTTAGATCAGAGGTGGATAATCTTTTGTTCTCCAGATGTTGACAAACCACAGCTCCCATCATCTATGACCATGGGCAATTGAGTTTTGAGTTCAGCACCTGAAGGGGCACAGGTTAGCCACCTCTGGATTCAGGTGGGGGCTATCCTTAACAAATTTGCAGATGACACAAAACTGGGAGAGATTGCTTCAGAAGACAGGATTTAAATGCAAAATGACCTGGATAGAATGGGAAGCTGGGTCGACCTTAACAAAAAGAAATCCAGGTAAGAAAAATGCTAAAATCCTCCAATTGGGTGAGGGTGGAGGGAAATCATGCCAAGGTATAAGGCGAGAGACACATGGTTTGGCCGCAGTACATGTGAAAAGAATCCTGGGACTGCAGTAAATCAAAAGTTGACTTCGGCTTGCACAATGGGGTTTCCTTTTCTTCTTGTCCTTGCAGCCCCTTGTGTACCCTCCAGATCTGCTGCAGAGGGTTAGGGAGTAAATTTAGGGGAGTGTATGAAGGGTTGTGGTGAAAGGGGGTGGACCTTGGAAGTCTGTTTGCACACCATTATGTAGAACCAACAGTTTCCAAGTCATAGAAGTAACAGTTTCATTTTATTATGTACTAATAGGGAGACGTAATCTGGAACATTGTGACCAATTCTGGACATTTCAAATTGGTTCAGAGGAGGGTCAAAGGTGTAGAAAATAAATCCTGTGATCAAAATTGAAGGAACGGAATGGGCAGGATTCACCTAGCCAGCCTGGCAGCAGAAGCCCTGTGCAAGGACTTCCACTTGTGCAATGGAGCTCCCTTCCCTCCACTCTCCCTGCCTGCCCTCCACACATCCCAAAATTGGCTCAGTGGAGGTTAGGAGAACCTCCAGAACTACACGCAGGGAGAAAAACGCTATATTGAGTTCCATTCAGTATGTTTAGCCAGGAAAAGAGAATGCAGAGGGAGGACTTGATAGTACTCCTCAAATATCTGAAAGACTGTCCCACAGAAGAGGGCAGAAGAAGACTGAACTAGAGCAAGTAGGCTTAAATTACAGGATGGCAGATTTTTGTTGAGCATGAGGAGAAATTCCTTAATGGTAAGAGCAGTTTGACAATGGAATCAATTGCCAAGGAAAGCAGTGGCCTCTCTCTAGTCGTTGAAGTCTTCAGACAGAAGTCTGTTGGGACTGATCGAATTTTGGATTTCCTGCATGGGCCAAGAAGTTAGCAGGTAGACTCCAGTTGTATGATTCTATGAAGCAAATGTTATGGCTGCTCGTTGGGCATTACATCTGCACTCTCTAGTTGCAGCATTACACATTGACCAGTTTGGCTGCACTGATGTTACAGGGGAACAAGAAGTTGAAAACGAAGTCCATTCTCCTTAGTTAAAAAAAAAAAAAAGCTAGTTGATCCTGGATTACTCACCCCCCCACCCCCACCCAGAAAAAACATTAAAACTTTATTGGCTGTTCTTGGGGGTATGTTTTTAGGGAGGCTATCTGATAACCAGGATGATAAAACCAGAGCCAGTTTTGATATTCCTAAAGAGTTTGCTATTAACATTTGAATATGTGCTGATGAAAAGAGGTCCTTTTCAGCTTAACAGCCTTCTGTATGAAATCAGTCCCAAAATGGTTTCTGTGTAGACTCCGTAGATTCCAACCAGTTCTAGAATGTATTCATGAATAACAATCAGAGCCATATGTGCATTCTCTAAATGGCCATTCGCTTAAGTACATGCATCTTTTAAATTGCCTGTTTATGACTATAATGGCTAACATTATGTGGAAGTGGTGAATGATGATCCTGCGTTTTAAAAGTGAAAATTCTAATTTGTTTTCAGTGGTCCATAGCAGATATGTCTGTAGGAAGTAAAACCGAATTCCCAACCATGTATAATAGCACTCTGGAAAGATGACGTACGCTCTGATCCAAAACGGGTGTGCTTGTACATCTGCCTGAGGCAACGACATATTGTCTGATATTTGAAAGGCATAGCTCTTCATCTTTCTGCTCCTAAGTACTTGCACGCTGGTGCAGATAGTCCTAGAATTGTAGTAATTCCCTAACAATAAATCATACAAGAGTATTTGGTATGTTGTCTGAAAAGAATTCTGCAACTCCAGCTGATCTTAATATCAGGGCATCTTACTGGAAGGTAGAATTGTCACATGTTGAACCGCAACTATAGATTGTGAAGATATAAAACAAAGCCATATATTTGAATAAGTGGCCTTATTTCTCAAATGTGCTGTTAAGCACCTTTTTAACATTGAAGGCAGCTGAAAATTCACATAAGGCTCACAGCACTAGAAAAATTGAGCAAGGCTTTCTCTTCACTGTTTATTGAATTGGCTTCCTGTGGTGATGTTCCACATCACTACAGAACAGCCCTTATCTATCCAGCAGTTTGTTTGTTTAAAGTCTATCTGGCTTGAACATAACTGCAAACAATCTAAGAATTGTACATCAGGTATCTGTGAAGAGCTTAGATTCTTTTTTAAAAACAACAACTTCTAGGAGTGCTTTGGTTTTAATCAAGTTTAGCTTTAATAGTTGTAAAAATATATTTGAAAGTGTGCATGTGCAGTCAACAAGAGTCTCTATGGCAGGGATAAGGAATATTTGGCTTCTAGATTTGTTGGATTTCAACTCCCATCAGCCCCAGCCAGCATGACCAATGGTCAGGGATTCTGGGAGTTGGAGTCCCACAACATCTAGAAGCCCCATCCCTGCTGTAAGGTTAGGATGGAATGAGCTTCTGTGCCTTGTTTTGTTACTCCACACCCAACAAAAGGATACATTTTATTTAAGAACAATATCTCATATTAATTTACCCGCCAACTTCCTTCCCTTACGCCACTCTTTCTCTGCAACCAAAACTCCAGGGGGGGAAATGTAAAACTTCACAAAAAGTTAACCACACTTATGTAAAACTAGCCAAATTTGCATATACTGTTGATATGCACAATTTATTTTAAGTAAACATATTTTAACTTTCTAGGCTCAGAATATGGATGGAATAAGATATTTTGTAATCCCTATTGTGTCTGCCAGCTATCAGACTGTTACTATCAGACTGTTACTAGGGCTCTGCACAGTAACCTACAGTAAATACAGCAGGAAAGTGGTAGCAAACTCTCCATTGTCCTTGAGACTAGAGATTGTGTTGCAAGGCCCCGGGCCCCGCAGTCCCCTCCGGAATAAATACACAAACACAAGTATATTGGGTTAATGGGATAAATAAGACCACAATTTTATTGGTTACAGATGTGGCTTAGGCAATTGGGTGAAGCAAGACTATATCCTGACTCCTGCCCGACTGCAGAAAGTCTCTTAAGGGTCAACCACTGGAAGGGGGAGCCCTATGATGTACATAAATTAAGAGCACCCTCAGGGTCACCGTTGGGGTCGTGGCATGACCCTAGCCCACGCCCAGGCTTTGGACAGGAACCACCCCCAGATCCCTTTAATGGGATACCCTTAACGTGGAGGGGCAGACGGAGGAACAACCTCCCCTTCCATAATAAGGCTTACCCAATACCTAACCTTACAAAGTTGAGATGATTGCTACTAGGTAGGCGAAAACCAAATGGCTAGAGCCACTTTTGCCAAGTGGAAAAATTCCTACCTGGCCCCAACAACCAGGCAACCAACATAAGTCATAGCAAGGTCAAAGTCAATCAACGCAAGAAAAGAGGGTGGGTGCACTGGGAGATCCCAAGAAAGGATGCAAAGCAGGCTGTTTTCCTGGCCACACAGCAATTTAAGCGGCCATAGCCACGCCCCCAGGCAAACCCGATTGGCTGGCTGGGGGCGTGACGCGGCTGGGGTTCCTACTGGCATGGGCTGCAATACTCTGCCCACTGCTAGGTTGCTGTGAGGACCCGGGTTCCCGCCCGCAAAGCAGCCACCCGAAAAGAGGAAGCTGACTTGTCACTTGGTGACATTGACATTCTGCAGCTCCACTTAGCACCTGCAAGCATTCACCGAAGCAGCTCCAGTACATATAACAGCCCAGCACCTGGAGTACCTCACTGAATGAGTGATTTGGGAAATGGAATTTTCCAAAAGACTTGTCATATTTACCAGCTCTTTAAAGTGATAGATTACCTAAAACTATTCCACAGTAGATGGTAAAGACATTTCCCTCCATCATTTTAGTTGACAGAAGCTAAAAGAGTAGCTCATAGCACCCATGTCCTGGTCCATTTTAAAGCATGCTGTGGCTGACCTAACCTCTCAGTAGCCAGCTGAGAACTGCTGCTGTTTAATTCCATTAACTGCACTTGTGACAACTCCCTCTGTGGCTGCTACGTGTGAGGAGCAAAGCAAATTATTCTCCAGAAATATCACATGAATATATTATACAAATCCTTTCAGAGAGCATTGGCATAAATCCTTTTGTTTAGCACAAAAGGATGTTGGTGGGGGAGTTGAGGTGAGAGGAGGAAGAGAGAGGTAATTGAAATAATTCACCTAGATCTCATCAGAAACAACTATGATAACCCCAGTAATCTGTTATTTGGGTCAAAATCTCAGTAGACCTAAAGGCCCTGGTTTATCTACTCGTGCTGCATTTAGCTGTTGCATGTGAGTAGAACCACACAAGAATGGATGGGACTTGCATCTCCCCCTCCCTTTTTACATTTAATGGTAACACTTTATTATAACAATATTAAAGAGATGGGAATTGTTACATTTGCCTAAGTCTGTATTGGATATAGATTTGTTCAAGAAACAAAAATAGGCCAGTGGTTTATATATGTTTTAACTAGAGCAGGATATTCTCTCTCCCCCCGTCCCCCTGGTGTTCCATCTTAAGACTCCCATTAATAAGAAACTAAAGAGAATGTTACCACAAAATAAGTAATAGGGATTCACAGCACTGGGACATCGGACCAGCCTTCTAGGCTTTCAGACAGGAGTCTCCCAGTCCTACCTGGAGATACTGGTAGGGGCCTTCTGGATGCAAAGCACTTACCACTTAGCTACAACTCACTGTAATATAAAAGACTATTATTGATTAGATTCTAAACTATCCCACAGGAGCAGGCAAAGAAATGTATTTCTACCTAAAAGGAAACAGTTGCCAGAAGTGCCCTGTCCTGGTTTGTTTTAAAGCATGCTGAGGCTGAGTAATGCTGACATAACTGTTGGCAGTAATTCTTGTATTTTTGCTAATCATAAAACTATAACTAGAAAAACAAGGAGTTAATATAATTACCTAGCTTAAAAAGGTAAAGGGACCCCTGACCATTAGGTTCAGTCGCAGACGACTCTGGGGTTGCGGCGCTCATCTTGCTTTACTGGCCGAGGGAGCCGGCATACAGCTTCCGGGTCATGTGGCCAGCATGACTAAGCCACTTCTGGCGAACCAGAGCAGCGCACGGAAGCGCCGTTTACCTTCCCGCCGGAGCGGTACCTATTTAACTACTTGCGCTTTGACGTCCTTTCAAACTGCTAGGTTGGCAGGAGCAGGGACCGAGCAACGGGAGCCCACCCCGTTGTGGGGATTCAAACTGCTGACCTTCTGATCGGCAAGTCCAAGGCTCTGTGGTTTAGACCACAGCGCCACCCACGTCCCCTAATTACCTAGCTTAGAAATCATTAAAATATTCAAAAACTGAATGATCAGAATCCCAGACAGGAAACAATTAATTTTTCAGTGTCAGTGCTACTGTCATGAAATAAGTTGCCATACTAGCAAGAACCTACTAGGCTGGTAAGTAATTTGCATCATCTGCCATTGGGATGGAGAGCAGAGTAAATGTTTTCAGATATACAAATGCAGTTTCTTGGGGATGTAGTGCAACCTTGGAACAAAGCTTTCATGGCTTTATCAAAACAGTGCTAGCTATTGTTAATATTCACTGTGAGCCAAGGACAGTCCATGCATATGAAACAGCTGTTTTTCTTAGTTTTGAAACTCCAGTATGCGGCTTGTTTTTAATTAAAACAGCAACTGAAGCATATTTTCGATTACCTTATAGGTAATCTAAAACGCTAAACCAAGGTTTGATGCTACAGGAGCAAGCCCTGTGCTGACATGCTCCTTTTTTCACTTACACACTCAGAGGAGCTTGTTATTTCCCATATTGAAACAAATGGTAGTATGCTATTACTCTGAACTGGCAAAATATGGTGTGTGTTTACTGTGCAAACCATGATTGTATCCAGGAATCAAACCCTGGCTATAATCCTAGTACAGTGGTACCTCTGGATGCGAACGGGATCCGCTCTGGAGCCCCGTCCGCAGGTCACGATACGCCGCTTCCACGCATGCACATGACGTCATTTTGAGTGTCTGTGCATGCGCGAGCGGCGAAACCCAGAAGTAACGCGCTCCATTGCTTCCGGGTCGCCGCGGAGCGCAACCCGAAAATGCTCAACCTGAAGCTACTTCAACCTGAGGTATGACTGTATTCAGGGCAAGCACAAGCAGTTTGCCACTTTGGATTTATAATAATATTTATTATTATTATTTATAACTCACCCACTTGACTGGGTTGCCTCAGCCACTCTGGGTGGCTTCCAACACACATAAAAACAATAAAACATCAAACATTAAAAAAACTTCCTGATATAGGGCTGCCTTCAGATGTGTTCTAAAAGCTCTATCGTTATTTACCTCCTTGACATCTGATGGGAGGGCGTTCCACAGGGAGAGTGCCATTGCCTAGAACAGTAAACGATACATAACCAAATAATATAAAATGATTATTTTAAAAATGTCTTTGGAAATGAAAGAAGCAACGCACAAACACAGAGCTCGCTCATGTAGCGCCACCCGGTGGCAGCTGGAACCTGCATGGAATCCACCCGCCACCTCCCCCCCAGGAGAAGTGGCGGGCGGACACGAGCCCCACGCCGCCTTTTCGGGTGGCGTGGTACCTGCAGGCACCTAAGCCACCGTGTTACTCCCAGGAGAGACACGTGGTTCTGGCACACTGCAGCGCCCCCCCGCCACACTAAGTAGCTGCCCAGTTGCACCCCGCCGCCCTAGCTACGCTAGTGGCTCATGGTTTGTATATTACGTATGAACCAACTGTACTCTCCCAAAGATACAAACTGTTAACTCAGCAGAAGTTTCCAGATGTTTCCTAAAATTACAAGTGTAAAGGATTTATACTGCAGACCCATATGTGGCTACTTCCAGGTAAGCCCCAACAAGTTGAGTGGGACTTATTCCCTGGCAGTCTTCAACTCTTAAACCACAGTCCCAGAAAGCTATGTGCTAACCAGGGAGAACCTTATGCAAAAGCAGAAATATCTTTGAAACTTGAAGCTGCTACTACAGACACACAAACACCTGGATGAGCAAGATGTTATTTCAGTTGAAAATCAGCTTACCTGTTTTGGTAAGCAAGCAGCTAAAGGATATATTTTCAAAGAAACTTTAAACTTAAGCGGTTGTCTCCCATGTACACACATATATTCTTAGTATAGCAATCCTTGTTATCTTCATATATCACTTCACTTTCAAGGAGTGAAACTGGAAAACTCAATTGATGTGTTGATGTGCACAACAGGACTTTCCCAATGCAAATCTAGGGGGAGGGGAACAGCAGGAGGAGGGGAAAGGAGACTGTCTAGGGCAGATGGGGGTGGTAAAGGAGGAGGAGAGGAAGGGAACTTCCCTTGAGAAAGTGGAAATCCTCTCACACCATGTTGGCTATACCCATGTTGGCTATACACAGAATTATTTGGCTCCTTAGGTACTGCATTTTATTATAAACAAGTAAAAATGCACATTAGAATTCAGATCTACTTAACTGGCAGCATACAATACCCATTGGGTTGCATTGCTATAGAAGATTTGTCCCTAGAAGCTAGATAAAGGACCATAGTTAATTTTAGAATAGCAGCTGGACCTGCTGAGAATATGTGTGGTTTTTGTTTTTTTAAAAATAGCATATGTTAGGCTTTTACAATAGCTATGGCTATTTTTATAAAAAGTCATTTACAATGTTTTCCAATAATTCTAGCTCTCTCTGGTGCTGCCACTAACAGTGGTAGACGGCAGATTAGTGGTAATACCCCCACTTCCTAAACCCTGTGGGCTCGCTGTGACCACAGTGAGTGCTTTTCTGGTTACATAATATATAATCATTTTTCACACACACCCCCAATCTACTGTGCCACCTCCAGGGTTGGCATAGTTTACAGCACATTTTCAGGGGGAGGTGATAAGGGAACAAGGCCATTTATGGTCCTTGGTTCTGAACAAATCTGCCCTGGGAAGTCCTGTTTTGGGCCCAACCAACTGGTGGAACACCAGAACGTACTGCAGATGCGCCTCCAGCTGCAGAAGTGTTTGTAGGTCTCACTGTCTGCCAGCAGAGCAGCCAGCAGAGCAGCACATATAGCACTTCAAAAAACCTTTGGGCAACTTTCGGATAATAATAATCTCTTGAATAATAATCTCTTGACGTCAGATATGAAACTGGAAAAGTTGCTTATTATTTAGGCAAGACAGATCCCACTCACCGCCAAAGAAACCTGTTCTCATTTATTCCACTACAAAAACTGTCAAGGCTTGATGATGTGCCAAACAACACGTTATGTTGTAATTTGAACCTGTGCTAAGCGGTGTGTGTGTGTGTGTGTGTGTGTGTGTTCAAATCATGTTTACTTGGAAGATGCAGAAAGGACTCGTTGAAAGTGAACGAGTTCTGGTTCTGCTATTCACAAGCCGTTTTTTAAGGTAGGAAATCCAGCACCTATTTTGTCCAGCAGAAAGCCCAGCGCAGGATTCTAGATCATGGTCTACAATGCATAATTAAGGTTGCAAATGTAAACTCATTTTGGATTGGGCAGCTTTCCAAGTAACTAGGACTGGGGCATAAGACAAATGCTTGGGAACAGCTTCCATCCAGAGAACATAGGTGTGCAGAAATCTGCAAATTTCAAACATTTCATTTATTTGTGTATAACCCTTAATTATACACTTGTTATATTTTATAGACATAACCTTGTTGCAATAACAAATGCCTTTGGAAACTTATGAGCATGTTAAAACATCTTGCTTCCCTGCAAACCACCTTGCTTTATACAGGAAGATAGAAAACAATGTAACCATACATAAAATCAATTTTATTTTTATGAATACTGAGTGTGAGAAACAAAGTACCTGAATTTGCTCATATGAAATCGTACCAACAAATTGCAAAGCTATTGCGGTGTTTAATCCTGCAACTAGGACTGTATGCAGTGTTCTGCTTGAACACCGGTTTTTTTTGGGGGGGGGGAGGTTGGCAGCTTTGCACTTCTGCCCCATGTGTCTCTCAAAAATCTGCTCCTCAAGTTTGGAGAATCATCGAAGCAGCAGCACAAACGGCTGCACCTTCACGTTGCACACGGCGCCCTTGGGCTCCCAGCCATTATTCTTACAACTGCATCCTTAGTAACTTGCCATGGATCAGAGACTTAATAGACAGGAGGGAAATCACTGCAAAACTGCGTATCAAAAATTCTAAAACAGTTTCTGCATTTCAGAATGCCAGGTTCATGCCTTGCAGTTTCAAATGTGTGTCCGCTCTGTTTACCTTCAAACATTTCACAGGATTTGCCATTGCTGCTCTAGGACTAGCTCATAAATGCATCAGAATCACATGGTAAAGCTTTTCCAGGTTTGTACCACTGTTGGTGGGGGATTCCATGTCTGCTCTCAGATATAAAATTCCGGCACGTACAAAACTAGCATGCTTAGGGGAAAGCATTGCCTAGCTTTCTCCCTGGCATGCTATTGTGGAGGCAGTAGGGGGAACACCGAAGCATCAGAATCTGTAGTAGTATAGTGGAGGGGGAAAGTTCACCGCCATTTTGCCTACTGTATGAATTGCCCTTTATAGTAGAATTTATAGAGCAATCCACAGCCCTGTCTGGAAGCAAAAGGGTAGAATAGAGACACAAATTGACCACTGTATCTGAAGCCCTGTCCGCAAGTGCTGACCAGGATGGATGCTGGAGGTATTTTTCCCAATTCTGCCATGTTAACTCCAGGCTGGCACACCTGAGGAACCCAGATGGAGCCCCTCTCTTAGGAGTGCATTGGAATCTCCCATTTCGGGAGCTCCTACCAGGTCATCACTACTGATAGATACAGACACAAAACAACACACACCAGCCAGTGGATGGAGAACTCTGTTACATCCTAACCTCCAGCAGCAAGGGGTCAGGGAGTTAGAATTGTAGCCTTAGATGCGTTCCTATTCATTTCAAACTTCAGAGAGGATCCAAAGAGCTATTTTAGGCATCCCTAAGGGGTTTGGGCATGTTCTTTTGAGATCTGATTAATATTCCCTTTATTAAAAACAGTAGGCGGCCATATCATAACACAAACTAGGTCTGAATTCAATAGGAATAATCTCTAAAAAGGAAATAATCTCTAAAAAGACAAACCATTTTAAAAGCTAAGAACATAAAGCTATGTAAAAGTAGAATATACAAACACTTAAGCAGTTCCCCAAATACGTAAGCATGAATAATGTGTAGATATACCATCCCTCCCAATTGGTAATTTGTGTTTTCAGAAACAGCTCTCTTCATATTGTGACTTGCTTTGTTATTTGAAGTTCTCAAATGATTACCAATACTTTGACCCCATTGGCAGACAAACAGTAGGGTACTTGGGGCGGGGGTGGGGAAGGCTGTTGTTGTTTTGTGGTTGTACATATCTTTACAAAATGTTAATGGTGATATACTTACCCTGCCTTTCATTAATACTGCAAAAGAGCATGGTCATAAGTAGATGATAGCTGTTGGAGATGAAGCCATCCCATGCGGCATTCTTGTTTTCAGTATTCATCTCCTACCCGTGCTTTTTTATACTACTGTGGTGAGATTGTTATGAAATCCTTTTGTCAGTCACATACAAGCTAATTTACCTATGTACAGAATTTGTATTACAAGCCTAATTTATACTGTGTTTTAACAGTTTGCCTGAACTGTCTATGATTTCTAAATTTTGTAATGTGGGTGTAAGATTAAAAACATTGACATGTGTTTAGTCCAGACTTTTGTCTTTCTTCAGTGTGTACATATTTTTATTCTTGGTAATTGTTTTCCCCTGCTATGCAGTACACAGAAGCAGTTTCCTTTACCTCGTCTTTATAGGAAAGGCACCTCCATCCAACTCCTGAATCATTTTACTGCCCTTTGCCCAAGTCTTATAATACAACCATTGTTTTCCTTACTACTGTTCTAAATAGTTACGGTGATGCATTTGGTTGAAGCATGGGAAGCATGGCATAGTGGTTAGGGTGTCTGACTAGGACCTGGAAGACCAGGGTTCAAGTTCCCACTCAGACATGAAGCTCACTGGGGTGACCTTGGGCCAGGCACTTACTCTCAGCCTAACCCACCTTTTAGGGTTGATGAAATTAAACGGGGAGGGAAAGAACTATGTATGCTACTTGAGCACCTTGGAGGAAAGGCACAAATGTAATAAATACAAATGTAATAAATAAAAATAATGGTAGTCCTTATATAGCAGGTGCTTACTGTATCAGTTTTTTTCAGTAGCTATTTTACACATCTTCTTCTCACAGTGAAATGTAGCAACAAGCCTGATATCCAACTTTTCTTTTTACACAGCTGTGGCTTAGTGGAGATCATGTGAACTTGTAGACTGCTGGAAGCAACCTGGTGCTTTTTGCTGCCATGCAATAACCCCTGGACTGGGAGTTGTGCTTAAGCTCTCGCCGCACTAACCACAAACTGCTATGGCTGGCTTAGTGCAGCAGCAGAAAGGACTAGGGCAGAGCACAGTGGTTGCAAATTTCTCTCCAGGAGCCTGCACAGTCTTACTAAGCCATAGTTTGATTTATTGTTTTTTTGTTTGCAAACCGGCTCATTGCCATTCCCACTGCTTTACCAGTGTTGCCCTTCTTGCCTTAGTACCTAGATGCTTACCACAATTAATCTGCAGCTTTGCTAAAATATGAACTAACATAGTTTTCTTTATTTCTTGTAAGCATAAAAACTACTGGTATGGGAGGGATATTTTGGTCATTGAACTGTTATTCAAAGACATGCAGACTACAAGCAGGCTATAGCTGTAGCACTATTGCCATCTGCTGAACAGTAAGAGAACAAGTAACAATTATTTAAAACTATGGCAGCGTTTCCATCATTTCATCATTTTAACATAAACCAGGGTATAATTTAAGAGAGCACGATAAAGATGAGCAATGGTCTAAAGTGCAGCCTCATCACAGGTTCAGGACCATTCAGGATGCAGGGTGGATAAATTAAATTTAAAAAGCTTTAACAACACTATTTCACTAATCTATAAAATAATTTATGATTTACTTATTTCTAGCTCTCCATCATAAAGGCTCTGGGCAAACAGCAATATACTAATTATTCTAGCCTCCGTGTCCCTAATGTCTCAATGCCAGTTTGAATAGAAATATCTTTGTGAAAGTCCATACAGTTTTAAACCTTTAAAAAGGTTGTGTGTGTGTGAATACAAAACAATTACTAGTTTGCCAGTAAGCTTTTACAGAAAAGAACTAGATATGTGCCAGATTAAGTTACAGCATATATATTACCAGATGGGGGAAATACAGCTAATTTAACAGCCTTTAGGGATTTTTAGCATTGTTTGGAGAAGAATATTGTGGTTACTATGGCTGCAATCATAAACTCCACTGGGAGTAAGCCTCATTTAACAAGACTTAACTTCTGTGTAAACATGGTTATGACTGTGCTATAAGCCATTTCCAAGATTTCAGGGTTTTTTTTAAAAAAAACCCACACACCTTCATTTCAAAATATTTAACCAGAAGCACACATTTTCACATTTAGCATTTGATTTATGACAAAAAAATACAAGTTTATGGCACCCAAAACTTTCAGAATGTCAAGCTTCAGAAAAAAAACACCCCATATTTCTTGCCCTCCCAGCTCTGTTGTTTTAGAAAGCTAAATATGTAAGTAAGTAATTTCAAGCGTCAGTATAATGTGTAACAATTCAGTACTACGTAAGCTGCAAATTTGTGCCTACCTACTGGGGAATTTGTTCCATTAAACTCAGTGAGACCCAGACATAGGTTTAGGTGAGACCAGGAATCTCCAACCTTTCTGGACTAGTAGGCGTATTTTAATTTTGTGAAATACAACATGGCTGCCATGAGGAGCACGACATAATCCAAAATCAGAGAGAATACAGCCATTGCTGCTACTCCTGCCCACCCCACCCAGCAGACAACATCATGCTTACTACAGGAAGTCAGCTATGTCCGACTGCAGAGATCACACAATATTCATTTCTCAAACACACAATAATGCTGCTGCTGTTTGGTAAAAGGGAGCGTTCCCCACTACCAGTAAAAATAATACAAGGTAGCCACACCACACTCATTGCACTTATACAGACCATGGACACACAAGTAGCTGCATCTTTTTCACTCATATGCACACACCATACACACACGTCACATATACATCTCTCTCACACACAGAGGTCAACTAGTCATGCCGCCTTCTCACCTCACATATATCTCCCTTGACTCACGTGTACATAAATCTGTCAGGGTGGAGGTAAAACACCAACATGGTAAAAGGTAAAGGCAAAGGGACCCTGACCATTAGGTCCAGTCGTGACAGACTCTGGGGTTGCAGCACTCATCTCGGTTTATTGGCCAAGGGAGCCGGCGTACAGCTTCCGAGTCATGTGCCAGCATGACTAAGCCGCTTCTGGCAAACCAGAGCAGTACACGGAAACACTGTTTACCTTCCCGCTGGAGTGGTACCTATTTATCTACTTGCACTTTGACATGCTTTCAAACTGCTAGGTTGGCAGGAACAGGGACTGAGCAACGGGAGCTCACCCCGTTGCGGAGATTCGAACCGCCGACCTTCTGATCGGCAAGTCCTAGGCTCTGTGGTTTAACCCACAGAGCAGGCTAATTTCTCCCACAAACTGAGAATAATGGGGTTTGTACCTTTTGCCTAACATCTCAGGTTCTAAAAATGCTGGAAACTTTTCTTTTTAATGAAAGCTGGAAACCTACGTATTATGGTTCATCCCAAAAAACGTATCAAACCCTGAGCACTAGGCAGGTGACCCCTGGGCTAGACAGTGTCCTGTATCTTGTCAAATATAATTGTCTAAGAACCTTTGGTATTAGCTATGAATGTATTTTACAGCAAAGTGACAAAATACTCAGGTCTTGAAAGTACGTAGGAGGGTGTTACTAATTCCATCCACCCTGCAAAATCACCTCCTCCTCAGTTGTTCTAACCCAAAGTTTCTCCTACCCAAAGTTTCTCCTACCTTTTCTAGCCATACTCTTCCCAAAGATAGATCCCAGGAAGAAATATTTACAAGTACTGCTACCTTTTATTATTGGAGCTGCCCTCTCCTATAGGAAGAACTCATTTTGTGCAACTGTACCAGAACCACAGAAGAGGAGTCAGCCTTATGAAAAGCCACAACTCCACAGACATTTTTTTCCAGGCCCAAGCATGCAAGGTACAGTAATGGGAAAGCACAACACATTATTATTTGGTAATATCTTAAGGATTGTTCCAACTTTAGCTTGGGGAAATCAATATAACCATTACTGAACATGTGTAGATGCCTAATAAGCCTGCTGTAATAGCTCACATACTTTATATTATGCATTATTATGTACAGCTTGTTATTGGTGTACCATATTATTAGCAGTATGTTACTTTCACCCGGGACCACCTCCAGCCTAGATATACCGGTGAATCTAATTTCATATGTGAATGCAAAACTCAATTTCCCCATCCTCTACGCAAAATAACCTCCCAAAGCGATTATTCCTCCAAACATTCAAAAGTTCACTTCCAACCACTTATTTTACCCCAGTCGTGCAATCTTGAACAGCCCTCACTAGGTAGATAAGTCCCAATTAGATCACTAGGGCTTACACCCGAGGAAGCGTGCGTAAAATCGGGCTGCAACTGCGAGGACAGCAGACGGATGAGTTGGGAAAGGGGAGCTCGCTGCTCCTGACATCCAGAGCAAGCCTAAGCATGTTTGCTCAGACGTAGATCCTACTAGATTCAGTGCCGCTTACTCCCGAGTAAGCAAGGCTGTTATCCCCACCATCTTCACTCTTCCAGCCAACTTCTGTCTGTCCTCCCAGAGGGAGTCCCGCTGTGGGCGGGGCCTCAGCTGGAATGCAAACGCAGAACCTACATTCCCCGCGCCCATCCCACTTTATATAGAGATAGGAAATATAGAGGAGATAATCCCATTGTCTGGAGACAGTTTCCTGGTTGCATTTTAATGCTGTTTCGAATTAACTGGAGAACCTCGCAAGATCTTGAAGAAGCGTGTCTCCCTCCCCGCCACTTCAAACAACAGCAAAACCCCAAAAGGTAGCATCAGAAACAGAGCCCCCCCCCACTTTCAAAAGTTGGGAACGTAAGAGCCCTGAGGTCAAAGGCTTATATAAAATCCCAACCAGTGGCCAACAACTAGATGCCTTCGATAACAACAACAACATTTATACCCCGCCCATCTGGCTGCTTTCCCCTAGCCATTCTGGAGGGCTTACAGCATATATATATAGAGAGAGAGAGAGAGAGAGAGAGAGAGAGAGAGAGAGCGCGCGCAAAATATCAAACAAGCCCACAAGCAAGACCCGCGCACAGGAGAAGCGCTCTCTATTTCTGGCGCTGCTTTCTGCCGCCGCAGCTGCTGCTACAAACCAGAAACAAAAAGCGTAGTTCACAGCCCACGCAGAAGTCGGGCATTGTTTGCGTGTGCGCGCGCGCCTGAATATATTATAAGTCTACGCATCAGCACGTGTGACGCAACCCCGCAATGACGGGCGTGCCTAGGGAGAAGGAGAGGGAGAGGGAGAGGGAGAGGAGGGAAGCCGCCATTTTGTTTGTTTGCGGACGGAAGAAGACACGTTTATCCTTCGCAGCTCGCCGTTGAGCGTAAGTGGCGGAGGGACGGGAAGCGGCCTGTTTCTCTCTCTCTCTCTCTCTCTCTCTCTCTCTCTCTCGTTAGGCCTTTTGTAGAGGCGGGAAACCAGGTCCTTGTTTTGCTCTGTGGGGCTTCAATTCCTCTCAACCCCCCCCCCCGACAGTCGTTGGGATATAGAGAGTAGGAGGATGCAAGGTAGGGAATAATTTTTTACGCGTTAAAAGGGTGCTTTTTGAAAAAAAGACCTCGCTTGGAGGGGCGGTTTTGAGCTTCGGAGACGGAGGCCTCCAGCACTTCCTAACATGTAAACCTTTCCCTCACCCCCTGGACTTGGGCAGCCTAAGGTGGGGGGGGAGTAGGTGGGGGGCGGGGCCGGATTTAGGTTTGATGAGGCCCTAGGCGACTGAAGGTAATGGGGCCCTTTATATGTCCAGCTGTCCTTTGTCAACAACAAATTGTCGCTGTTTTTTGTGTTGAATATATGCTATATGGTAATTTATGGACCTAGTAGGTATCTATAGCCATTTGCACATAACAAAATATGTGATATTTTAGGGAGCAGGCTAGCAGGTGGGGCCCATTACTTACATCATAGGAGCCTACACAACACAAAACACCGTTGCTGTATGTAGGTTTTATTTTATTTGTATTTTATCTTATATTTTGGAAATGTACATCTAGTTTAAATTTTTGGGCGGCCCCCAAGAGAGTGGGGCCCTAAGCTATAGTTTGTGTAGCTTATACGTAAATCTGGCACTGGGCAGGGGGGAAGGACCCTTAAGCAGGAGAGCCTGAGGCCCCTCTCCTGATGGAATGTCAGCTCTCCTTGGATTGGGGACAGCGGTCTCTTCCATGCGGTAGGATGCAAGCGTGGCTTCCAGAGAGTGGCAAAGCCCAGCATTTCTAGTTTTAGAATTAAGCCCTACCGCGAAGAAGCAACACTTCTTATAGCTAGATAGCCTTGATGGAAGCATTGGGATCAGGGTGCACACAGAATAAAACACCCAATTAGTTTTGGAATAGAAAGCATGTTTTGTTTCATAAACATTGACGGATGTGACAGTTCAATCCGAGTGTTTAAACATGTGGAGCTTCCCGTTAGAACTTATTTTAAAACATCCTGGAAGTGCAAACGAATAACTTTCTGACTGTGGGAGAATACCTTTCATCACCAAGTGATCGTGGGCGCAGAAATGTAGGCTTGGGGGTGGTGTCATTTTGCAGGCCATCTAGTCCAGCCTCCTGCTTCATGCAGAGCATTCTTAGTTGATAGCTGCATAGGTTATGTCTCAATCAATTTGGGATTAGTGGAGATACCTTTCAGATCCAGTGTTGGCTCCAGGCTTGAGAACGGCCCTCTTTTCACTTTAGAAATTCACCGACCAATTTTGAAACAGTCCTCCAAGAAGTTGGAGAATTTGTAACTTTTTTGGCACCGCAGATATTCCAGGCTTGATGGGCTTATTGCATCACTATCTGCTTCACACTCTTCTCGTGCCGTTTTGAGTAACCCCAACAGCTCTTCCCTCCCCAACTGAATGTAAGCTGAAATGGCTATTTAAATGAGAGTCCAATTAACCAAAATACAGGAGCTCAAATAAAAGTGTTAGTCAAAATTTTTCATCCTGGTGGGAATGGAAATTTGGTTACTCAGGTAAACAGCAGAGGGTATGGAAGTGAAGTTGACCACGTGAACAGGGATTGTTTTGTTTTGTCTTTAAAGTATGCCCCCCCTTTTTTTTAGTATGTCCCACTTTTTAGAACAGGTTGGGGAGCTATATTGGATGGAATATTATACTCCGGTAATATTTTGATACGTATTTAATTAATGTCCTATATGGCTGTTTTGATCATGGAAAGCTGACACAAATTATGATTGAGTTTGATTTGTTTGTGTCCATAACTGTTTGCTGAAGCCTTGAGCGCTCTGCCTATGAGAAGACCTATTTTATATATTTAAATATTTTTATGGTGCTTTCAGTCCCAAAATGCTTGGACTTTTCAGGATTTATATAGATCTGTAATATAATATTGAGAGCTAACAGATGATGAAATGTTATCCAGCAAGGTGGGATTTAAGTTACACAGCTAACCTTCAAATGACTAATGCACAGTGAAACCTTAAAGCATATACCGTATTTTTCACTCCATAAGACACACTTTTTTCCTCCTAAAAAGTAAGGGAAAATGTGTGTGTGTCTTATGGAGCAAATGCAGACGGGAGAAGCGGCTCTTGCTGACTTTTCAGCGAGGTGGGAGAAGGGACCGTCCCTCCTTCCGGCTCATTGGAAAGCCAGCAAGAGGCACGCCAAGCGTGTCTGCCGCTCTTGCTGGCTTTTTGGTGAGGTGGGAGAAGGGACTGACAGGCTGACTGTAATTCAAGCAAAGGGAGAGCCGTTTACATGCGTGTAAGCAGCTCTTACTCTGCTTGCTTTACAATGAGCCGGAAGGAGGGGCAGAGGGCAGCCCCTTCCACCCCTCCCCCCAGCTGACTGTACCAGTAATTCAAGCAAAGGGAGAGCGGCTTACAGGGCTTCTGCTCTGGTGTCTCCTCCTCCTCCTCTTTTTGCTCGGGTTCCAGCAAGGCAAGGCAGCTGCCCACCACAGGCATGCACAAATGTGAGCTCTCCCTTCCCTCCCTTCCCCCCCTTCCTCCCTCCCTCCCTCCCTCCCTCCCTCTTCCAACTTCAATAAAATATTGGGGGGGGGCAGGTAAGCCCCACCTCACATACCGCAATTCATCCTTGTAGTTCAACAACATCTGGGGACCCACAGGTTGAGAACTGCTGCCGGTCTCAAGACAAAGTGCATGCACACTATATGAATAACAATGCCCATCAACATGGGGGGGACTCCCTCAAATATTTAAGAGGGGGCGAAGGCACCTAGGCCTCTAGGAGTTGGCTGCTATGCCTAGGACAATTCAAGAAAGTGATGCATATGCTATAATATCAACTTTTAGGGTGATACGGTAATTTTTTTTTTATACAGACTGTATGTTGGCTATGTTTACTGTGATGCCATTAGTTAAAGGTATGGTCAGCACTCAGTGGTAAACATTGGAGAAACCGTACATTACTGACAGTTTGTACATCACTGTATTTTCTTGCAGAAAACCTCCCCCATTCTGATAAGGATGATAAAGCAGAAAAGACTAGCATATAGGATTCCTTTTAAACTAGAGGTAGTAAAATATGCTAAGGAGCATGGAAACAGAGCAGCGGAGAGACATTTTGGGTCACCTCCAACTGAAAAAATGATAAGAGAGTGGAGGAAACAGGAGGATCAGCTGCAAAAAGCAGATAAAAGTAAGCACACTTTTCGTGGAAATGCTGCAAAGAGGCCACAGTTGGACGTGGCCATGAAAGAATGGATCAAAAATCACCAGAAGAATGGCTTCGCAGTCTCTACAAAAATGATAATATATGAAGCCAAACGCATTGCTGTAGAGAAAGGCATTCACGATTTTACTGGATCACCATCATGGTGCTACAGATTTATGAAGCAATGCGGCCTTCCTATGAGCACCAAAACTAGAATTGCACAAAAATTGCCAGAAGAATATGAATCTAAGATTCTGTCTTTTCATAAATTTGTAATTGATGCTAGGAAGAGAAATGGATTTGAAATTGGCCAGATTTGGAATATGGATGAAGTCCCACTAATCTTTGATGTGCCATCTAATAGGACTGTTGATCTGAAAGATACCAAAACTATCGCCGTGAAAACCTCAGGACGTGAGAAAACCTATTGCACGGTTGTGTTGTCTTGCTGTGCAGACGGCACCAAATTGCCACCCATGTTAATTTTCAAAAGCAAAACATTTCCAGAAGAAGTGATTCCACGAGGAATTGTTGTACATGTTCATGAGAAAGGATGGATGGACGAAAATGGAATGAGAGTATGGGTTGAAAAAGTGTGGTCCAAACGTCCTGGAGGGCTTTTGAAAAAACCTGCCTTATTAGTACTTGACCAGTTTAGAGCGCATATTAGCGAAATTACAAAAAAGTGCTTTAAAGAAGTGAAGACTCATCTAGCTGTAATTCCTGGAGGTCTTACCAGCCAGTTGCAACCTCTTGACGTTTCCATCAACAAGCCATTTAAGGTCTTTATGCGAAAAGAGCGGAACAAATGGATGGCTGCTGGTAATCATGATCTGACACCTACTGGACAAATGAAGGGGCCCACTATCACTCAAGTTTGTGAATGGGTGAAAACATCATGGCACTCAGTAAAGGAGGAAATCGTTGTACAGTCATTTAAAAAATGTGGCATTAGCAATGCTTTGGATGGAAACGAAGATGGTATTTTGTATGAAGATAGCGAAGAAAGTGATGTCAGTGATTGTGAGCAACTGAGCTTCATAAATTCTGACTCTAGCACTGATGAGTTCTTAAGGTTCAAAGAAGACTAGAAGAGTACCCGAACCTTAAAGTCTCTCTTCATTTGTTAATGAATGTGATGATGGTTCTTAATGCCACTGTTGACTGCTGTTCACTTTACATGGTTGTAATATGATTCTGATATACCAGTTGTTTATTAAATTGTTCAGTACAACATTTGATTCAGAATATTTTTTTCTTGTTTTCCTCCTCTAAAAACTAGGTGCGTCTTATGGTCAGGTGCATCTTATAGAGCGAGAAATATGGTAGTGTTATTCTTAAGAAGAAATTAGTATGGGAGCGTAGTTTCACAACCAATTTGACACGTATATAGTATATCAATCAGATTTAACAATGGATGAAGAAAATAGGTTTTCATCTATAAGCATTTCTATTCATAAAACATAATGGGGTATGAAATGCAGTTCCATTTCTTAAATACTCTTGGTTCTATCCTCTAAGTATATATTTCTAGTCCTTGTGATTGCAAAGTTTGAAATACAGTAATCTTGATTGTTTTGTACAGTGGTACCTCTGGTTGCGAATGGGATCCGTTCCGGAGCCCCGTTTCCAACATGAGCAGAACGCAACGCACGTCTGCGAGTACGTGGGTCGCGATTCACCGCTTATGCGCATGTACTTGACGTCATTTTGCACGTCTGCGCATGTGCGAGTGGCGAAACCTGGAAGTAACCCTTTCCGGTACTTCTGGGTCACCGTGGGACGTATCTTGCAAGAATGTACCATGAAGCGGACGTAACAAGAGGTATGAGTGTATATTTGTTGGTCTTGCCTTATGAGATAGATAATGTAACCTAGGTCCAAGTGAAACAAGGGCAGGGATACCAGAGCAACAAGATGGGGCAGCTGAAAATTGTATTGATGATATATTCTCACCCCACACTTGTTTTATTTCTTCACATTTTCAGTTGTAAATGCCTTTCACAGACTAAAGTTATTTCACAACCCAATCTTTGTATGTTCACTCAGAAGCCCATTCCACTGTGTTCTGTGGGACTTAGTCCCAAGTAAGTGTGCACAGGTGTGTGCTATCTAGGCGTTAGCCCTGTTTAACATCTAAATAAACACGTGCAGGAGGGGGTTGTTAATCTCTCATCTTTATTTTCTCATTGAAATGTAACCTTTTTGCTTTGGTATATTTTCCTGTGTTAGATGAAGCACTCAAAGCTAACGCAGTGCTCTGGGCAGGGTGAAAGAAGGAGCTGGGATGAAGAAAAGAGCACACATAGCCAAAAGCGCAGGCGGAAGTCACATAGCAGTGAAAGAGAAGGCAGATGCTATAAATCACTTAAAAGTGCCAACAGGTAAATGACTCTTGACTTCATGATCATCTAATTATCATCTAATTAGATGTAACTTAAATCTTTTATTGATTTACATTTGACATTTTTAAGTTTTCCTATTGCTGTTACAATCAGAGTTTTTCACTGGTAGTTCACTTAAAAATGAATAATAGTTGCTGTGATGTTATTCATTATTTCTTTCATCTTGACAGTATGGAAATGAGCAAAAGCTTTTAAAGCACTATTTAAGAAGGCAATTGTGGTCCAGATTGCTTTCAGATATATCTGTGTGTGCACACACATATGTGTAGTTATGTGTATATGTAGACAGTACCATATTAATACATCAGTATATACATGTAGATGAAATGTGATTCATTTCTAATCCATGCTTTCTCCCTCCATGCTTTCTGCCTGAAATTGCTGCAGCCATCTCTCTTGCTCACTGATTTGTCTGATCTATCTCCCTCCCCCAGTGATTTCGGCCCACCAGCAAAACACAAATAAGGAAGTGGGCAGACTCTCATTTTGTTATCTGATTCAGCTATTTGTGTAGTGAGGTTTTGATATAATACTTTGTGTTTGGTAAGTTGAGATTTTGGAGAAAGTGTTCCAATAGTGGGACCTTTATATTTACTGACATAAATAAAAGTCCAATTTGACTCTGACTTGTTTTCTGTACTACTTTGTATGGGTGCTTTGTATAGGTTTCTGAAATCAGGCCCTTTGAATTGGTAGTTATTTTGCTCTAGGGCTTCACTATTCACCTAGCTCTTGACTGTTGTTAGTTTTGAATGTAACTTTATGAGAATTAGTGTTATCAGCAAGTGAGATAGAGCAAGGCTGATGAATAATAAAGCTGTCCTGAGAAAGCAGTCATTGCCTTTGAAGAAGAGGCAGTTTATGGCTTTGAATTGAATGCATTGAATTAATGATTTTCCTTTTGGGAGCACTCCATACTTGCACAAGTTATTTAGACGCAGGTTTTCATTTTGTTGCAATGTACATGGGAAAGTTTACTAGACTTCCTTGCATATCTAGCAGGAAGGGTGTAATTCTTGTGAGCTCAAGGTAATAAGAGTCTTAGTATACTTATTTACCTTTTGATGGTGGGTAGATTTATCTTTCAACAAGGTTTTTTTAAAAAAAAAGTTGAAAAAATAATTTTTATTTGTTTTCAGCAGCTACTTGGAAGATAGATCCGTAACCAGGAGAGACCGTCATGACCGAAGATATGTTGAGGAGTATATAAATGACTTCCGTGATGTAGATGACTATAAGCATTGCAGAGAGTATGAAAAGAGTCGCCAACATCATTTTAGCAAATCCTCTGGTCAAAGTGGGAAAAGTAGTCATAAAAGAAAGCATAAGAAACATGACCCCCATGACAGCTTGTATTTGGTATGCATACTTTAAAAATGTATTAACAATGTATTAGTGTTTTAAGTTTCTTCACGGAGTATCAGATTATCTGAGTATCAATGTTTAAAAAGTTTCAGTTACCTGAGCTACAATTAAACCTGGGTTCTCTTAATCTGCTGTAAATATATACATAGCATGTATTCAGACATTTGAAAATGTTTACATAGTGAGTGGTGCCAACCACATGAGTTTTTGTCTGAAGCTTTCAAAAACTTGAATGATTTCTTAGTTGAGCTGGTAGAGAGAAGCAGTCAAGTGCTGTTCTCATTTGAATGAGTTTTATATCCTTTTGAAGCCACTCTTTCCATCCCATCTCCAAAGACACAGAAGGTATTAATTTACATGGAATTAGGCTGTGAAAAAAGTCTAATGAATTCAGCATGTTTCTATTCAGTAGTTTAGTTCAGTCCCATGCAAATTTTGATCATTCACTGATCTGTCAGAAAGCATTCCCTCTACCAATTAGCAAGGAAAGGAGTTTGGATTTTCCAGAAACAGTATGACACTGCTGATGTCTACATTCAAATTTAGGATTATTATGGTTTAAATAGTATTTGTACTTCTGAATCAATACACTCAGAATATTAGATTGTAGACTGCATTTCATGAATTATGAATATTTTCCCTTTAGCTTTTTGAAATATGGAAGAAAAAAATTAATTGCTTTGAAGTTCTGCTTTTTTAATAATAATTATTATTTTAAAATACTTTGCTAGATATTCAAGGAGATCAGACCTAGTTATGATTTCAAAAAAGTAGACACAAATGACAATTTTTTTTCAAATAGAAAAAGTAAATATTTACATTGCAAATTTAAATTTTAGTCTTCAATTAATCCATAATTTGAGAACAAAATTGTGTTGTGTTTCTGTTGTCTTACTACTCTTAAATATTCATCTGAAAATCTGTTCCTTGCCATGTTTTTCTTCTGTAACATAAACTGTGCCCTGTGAATTTCTGGGGACTGAATTTGAAATTGCTCCTGCCAACTGTTCGTGGCCTGGTGCGTAACTGAATGCCTGAATATCCCCGCTGAATGAATTGCGTATTCTACCCTGAATTCACTCTGATATATTGATTGGCTGGACGATCTTGGTGCCGTTTCCAGAAGAGTCACCGAAGGAAAAGATCCAGGAGTGTAGAGGATGAGGAGGGTCACCTGATCTGTCAAAGTGGAGACGTACTAAGAGCAAGATGTATAGAATATTTTTCAACCCTTTTTTTAAAAAATCAGCAAAAAATCTGTTTAGACTAGTATGTTAGAAGAGGAGTAGGGGTGGGGGGGATAAAAAAAATCTTCATTGCCCTCTCTTGTCTTTTCTTTTGTCTTTGTATTATTTTACATTTCTCTTCATTTCTGTATTCTTAAATATTGCTATTCAATGCTACAATAGTAAATGCAGCTTAAGTTTAGACTGATAGCTAGATAGCTGTTTCATGACACCTATCCAATAAAATAATGCTTTCAAAGGCAAACACTAAGTTTAATGTTTTTACTACGACATGCTTAGCAATGTTAATTTTTTTTCAGCTACTTCAATAAAAGCTTTGGTTTATTTTTTAGATGAAATTATTTCAACTTTAGGGGAAGGTGCTTTTGGAAAAGTAGTAGAATGCATTGATCATCACATGTAAGTATGCAATATTTTCAAAAGTATCTCTGAAAAAATGTTTTCCATCTGAAGGTAGAAATCCAATCTACATGCTATCCAATGTACATGAAGTTTTGTAAGACTTAAGAACAGAAAATTAGACAATAATATTTCTGTAATACAGTCTTTTGAAATAAATAACAGGTGCATTTTAACAAACACACCATCCCCAGTAAGAAGCAGTTCTCCCCACCACCAGCTGTTTTTTCAACTCTCCTTGTGGGCATCTGGGTGCACCTGGCTTTAATATGTGTAATGCAACTTTCAGTCATACTTGGGCTAACAGTAGAAGTTATTTCATTCTTAACATTAATAATTAGATTCTCACTGCAATTGCTATGTTCTTCTGTGAACATGTACAACAAATAAAATGGATGATAACAGAAAGTTGTTAGCTTTTTGTCTCAAAAATATTTTTTGTCTCAGCCTTGAAAGTGTTATAATAGGTGTAAAATAACCATGATTTACTGATGCATCCAGTCTACAGTAGAATGCTTGACACTTGGTTGAGAATGGGCAAATTTAATTGACAGTATTTTACTTTACTCCATAGGAAAGGGATGCATGTAGCTATAAAAATTGTGAAAAGTGTTGGTAGATACCGAGAAGCAGCTCGTTCAGAAATTCAGGTATTGGAGCACTTAAATGCCTTGGATCCTGGCAGCAGATTGTAAGTATAAACTAGAATGAAAGCATTATTTTAAACAGTATTCAATTACCAATTATTTTTATTCAGTTATTGTTCTGGTTGCTTTCTTTTTTTCCTAGCTGTTGTGTACAGATGCTGGAATCATTTGAACATCATGGCCATGTTTGCATTGTATTTGAGCTGCTGGGACTCAGTACTTATGACTTTATTAAAGAAAATAGCTTTTTGCCTTTTCCTATTGAACTTATTAGGAAGATGGCTTATCAGATTTGTCATTCTATAAACTGTAAGTACGTTTTAAATTTTAAAGAATTTTTCCATAACCTAAAATTATAGGCATTGATTTGAGTTTTGCGTTCCTACTTTCTCTCTCTTTTTTTTTGGCAGTCTTGCATCACAATAAGTTGACTCATACAGATCTGAAACCTGAAAATATTTTATTTGTAGAATCTGATTATATAGTAAAGTATAATTCTAAAATGGTAAGTTCACTTGCTTTAAGACTTCTTCCCAGTGGGCTGTTTCTACTTTTTTATGGTCAACCATGCCATATACAATTTCTAAGTTTTGCTCGCATCAAGCAGCCTTTACCATAACACAAGATGTATTCAAGTGCATATTCAGGTATTCTACTTAAGTACTTTGTGGCTGCTAAGACCAAAATCTATTGATAAATTATAGTAAAGGCCTTGAACAGAAGATCAGTCATTTTTTCACATTTATGTGAAGATGCAGCAGATGTGCTGATGACAAAGCAAATCAGTACTTGAACTACTAATTGTTATGTTGATGAGATTTCTCACAAGGCTTATGGATATAGTATAGTTAAGGAACTGTGAAACTATGGATTTGGATTTCCTATGTAAAAATTAGTTCACCTAGGTTAGCTGTTGTATCATTGCTCTTAATATGAAAAGCATGGCTTGTTAAACTACATTTGCCTTAGGTAAGTATAGAGGCTTCCCCCACTCCCAAATAGGAAGAAGGAGATTTTGCCAATTCCATGTGCATGAACAGTAGACCCAGAACGGAGTAAATCTGCAGAAAGCATGATTTGTTAAGTCTTTGTGTTAACAATGAGATTCAACTTCTTTTTAAAAAATAATGATGCTCATTTTGACTTTGTTACAGAGGCGGGATGAACGGACACTGAAAAATACAGATATTAAAATTGTAGACTTTGGAAGTGCAACATATGACAATGAACATCATAGCACTTTAGTGTCTACAAGGCACTACAGAGCACCTGAAGTTATATTAGGTTAGTAGAGAATTTTGCTGGAAATGTAACAATTCTAGGAAACATATTTAAATAATATTTATATAATTTAAACATTTGAAAAATTACTTTTAATATTCATGTATAATATTACTGCTTAGTTGTGTTCCATAAAAGTGGAGGAAAATAGTAAATCTAAGAATGGTGGATGGTTTATGAAATAACCTCAAGATTGTTCAGGAGATGGCTTTCTAGTCTGGATTGAATTTTCAACTAACTAATGTTTTGTGAATTGTGTTATAGCCCTTGGGTGGTCCCAACCCTGTGATGTCTGGAGCATAGGATGCATTCTGATTGAATATTACCTTGGTTTTACAGTCTTTCAGGTATGTGTATGTCATTTTTATTTAGAACTTTTCACTTGAGTTGCAGTTCAAAATCTGGTTTAAAATATATGTTAATGCTTTCATTTGATTTTTGGCATTTCTACAAGTATGTAGAGTTGAAATGCTCGAAATGTTAAATGTACCCTAGTCCTGCAAATGTTTCATAACACACTAACATTTAAAGACTTTGGCTGAGATTGTTTGGAGAACAAAGTTACTTTGTAAAATGTGTGGAAAGAGTTTGAGCTGCATCCATTAGAGCCACTCAGCTGACGGTAAGGTCTCCACCTGCAGATCAGGGAAGGAAGTTTTCAGCTCTTACCCCAGGGTCTTCCTTAAATCCTCCCCTGACAGTCCCCAAACCCTCTGGAGCAGATTTAGGGTGGGCTACGAAGTCAGAACGGTGCAATCGCCAAAAATTGCACCCCTTTCTGTTCAGTTTAAGGAATCTACCATTAACTGAGTGTCACTGTTGGATACAATCCAATATATTTATGGTATACTTGTCGATAACATCTTTGGAGGGACTGCACGCTTTTTGGTATAATGTAGATCTGAAACTGCTGCACATTACTGGGGCTTCTATCGTGCTTATGCCAGAATTCTTTCTGTTATCAATTTTTATGGGCCAGAACAAGGATATGCTATTCAAGGACCTGCTGTTATTTCTGTTGGTCATTGCTAGACAAACAGTTGCTCAGCAGTAGAAGTTTCTGAACACTTGGGACTTACTGTGTGTATTAGAAATGTCTGGTTGGTGGTGACAGCAGAAAAACTGACACATAAGAGACAAGGAAAAACCACAGCCTTTTTATGCCACTTGTTGGATATTTATTACATCTGCTTCTAACAACAGCCTGCAAAAAAACAGTTTCAGTTAATTTCAGTTATTTGGGAAGTTTAATGTTTTTCTGACCTCATTTGAGACTTAATTACAAATTTCAATTCTCTGTATGATCTTGATTATACCAGTTCTTTTTTCTGTTTTCTTTATTCTGTATTCCTTTGTTTGTTTCCTTCTGGTGTTCCATAAAGCTGAAAACCTGAGCGGTGGGTGGGAATGTTATACTTAGAAGATTAACAACACTGAGTTAGAGGGGGAAAACAACGCCTCTATACTACTGTATAATACATTCAATTCCTGCCCCTCCCCTTTCCAGACACATGACAGTAAGGAACATCTGGCAATGATGGAGAGGATTCTAGGACCTTTACCCACACACATGATTAAAAAATCAAGGTAAATTTATTTTAAATTGTATAAATGTTGTATACAAGTGGTTAAAAATATGCTTTGTTTTCTGTTTTTGTAAACTACTTAAGCATGAAGTTATAATTGTATATGCCACTTCCACATTCTGCAGTTAAGAAATTAAACTGAACAAAAATTTCCATTTCATTGACTGTTGGAATTCTTACATGATTTTGTGATTGTTATTACATGAAAATGCTAAGAACAACAGGAGACACCAGTAGTTATTATGAAACAAGGGGAGTTGGTCTGTCCAATTGAAATTTATCACTTCAATCCTGTTGAGCTACAACATATATAATGGATCTGAATATGTACTCTGGGCTCTCCCTCTCTTTCTCCCCTGTATTTGAAATTCGCAGTTGATTTTAGCAGCAGCTGTTTAATTTCATTGTTTGACTTGTAGAGACCAAAGTGGTAGGGAAGCTCTCCTCCCCCCCCCCACTCTATATTGAGATGCTGCTGTAGGATTTCTAGACCTTCCTCTTGGCTTCCTGAGGAGGAGAAACAGCAGAGTAAGACCAAGCACAGCAATCCATGAGTAAATAACAGAAGGGTGATGGGGAAGTGAGGAAATATGCTTAAGAGATGAAAGAGCACAGGGGAGCTTAGGTAAGAGACTTGTAAGGATGGACACCCATTCTTTGAAGCTTGCATTTAAGCTGCTAGATTTAAGACTGATATCCTATTTACACAGTGGAATACATCCACTGATCTCAGTGGGACCTGCTTCCAAGGACACGTGAGGTAGCAATGGCCACAAAGCTGACAGTGGTCAGATTGTTCAGAGAAAGAACTTTTGGAACCTTAGAAACTATTGTCGGGAAAAGATCTGATGAAGATTATACCTGTCAGGATGTGTAAAGGAAGTGGTCCAGAGCTCACAGAAATGGTGAGAGAAAGGAATCAAAGAGAATCAGCTGGAAATTAAAAATATCTCAAGGACAAGGGGAAGAAGGCTGCACTTCAACAACTAAAAAAGAAAGGATATATTTCATGCAGCTTTTTTGTATACAGGAAACGTTACTTCCACCATGACCAGTTGGACTGGGATGAACATAGTTCTGCAGGTCGCTATGTTAGGAGGCGGTGTAAACCACTAAAGGTAAGAGAGCACTATATTCTTCCCTCTACTTGATTCTGGAATCCAAAGAGATGTATCTAAAGTTTCTTTCTCTTTTTCCAGGAATTCATGCACTGTCATGATAAAGACCATAAAAATCTTTTTGACCTCATTCGTAGGATGTTGGAGTATGACCCTGTCAAGAGAATTACTCTAGATGAAGCCCTGGAGCATCATTTTTTTGACCCTTTAAAAAATAGATAAACTCATTTGATCTATCTTCCTCCAAAGAGACGATAAGACTGTGTCAGTTAACAACATAATGTGAGAAGATGTAAATAATAAATTATTTTTTCAGTTTATTTTGTAAATATTACCATAATTTTTTTGTATCGATGCTGTGGCTCTCTTGTTGAACAGTTGTGGTATTACTGATCATGGATGCATTAATGTACACATTAAATTTTTTCATTTTCTACAAGTGATTGCACTTTTTTGAATTGATATTTTGAAGATTGTAACATGGTTAAACATTGTTGGACCATTTTAGTACTGAGTGTTTTTGGGACTGAAGTCAGTGTTTGGGAAAGGTCCTTTTTTAGGCTCAATGTTTCCTTAAATTGTTGTGTTTAGGCAGGTTTAAAATTTTATTAACCTTTTAAAATACAGTGGTGCCTCGCAAGACGAAAATAATCCGTTCCGCGAGTCTCTTCGTCTAGCGGTTTTTTCGTCTTGCGAAGCAACCCTATTAGCGGATTAGCGCTATTAGCGGTTTAGCAGCTATTAAAGACTTAGCGGCTTAACGGTTAAAAGGCTATTAGCGGCTTAGCGGCTTAGAAAAAGGGGGGGGAGCGAAAAAAATCGCAAGACTCGCAAGACTTTTTCGTTTTGCGAAGTAAGCCCATAGGGAAATTCATCTTGCAAAGCGCATCGAAAAACGGAAAACCCTTTCGTCTAGCGGGTTTTTCGTCTTGCGAGGCATTCGTCTTGCGGGGCACCACTGTACTACAGTATTTGAAATGAGATCTAGTTTGATTGCCTGCCTGCCATTTTATTTTTCAGAATATATTTACCAGCCATTTTAATTAATGAGTGCATTGTTTCCCCATTTTTATTAAGTTGATTTGTAAAATCTACTTTATTTCATTTGGGAGGGGAGATATTAAAGACAGTTTAAAAGTAAAAGCATTGTATTAATTGGGTGAAATCCAGTGTTGTTCATGTGTGAGCATTCACACTTCCACTCATGTAATGGGACTTACCCTTTTTCTTCATGCCTACAGAATCAGCTCCACAGGAATCTGATCCTCTGGAGCGGATTTGGTGGGGTCAGCTGCAGGGGGGGGGGGAGGAGGAAAGTCCAGTTGTGCAAGCAAAACTTCACTTGTCCACTGTTGGATTTCACCAGTTATCCTTATGAATGTGATTGTTTATGGTAGGCAGATTGTGCTCTTGGTGCTTGAATATCGGGGGTGTGGATAAAAAGCCATGCTTTACCTTTGCCAAAAATTGCTAGATAATTCTACTTCCTGGTCTGCTAAAGAGACCAGAAATTGCAGCTAGCGATATTATTCACATTTTCATTGTCAACTTTAAAGTAGCATGTGTCTCAGCATTGAATCTTTTAATATTATATTTAAGGTCTGTTACAGCATTTGGATTTATGTAATGAGCCTTGTAACATGATGTTTAACATCCTGTATAGTAACTTCAATCCAAGGAAAAGTAATAATAAATGTACTTACTACATGTATAGCCTGTTCTTCACCAAGATCAGTGTACATAGGATTCTTCGTATTCTCACAACAGTCCTGTGTGGTAGAATAGTCTGAGAGATGGTAACTAGCACTCAGTGATGTTAACAAAAGAAAATGTCAGGGAATGTGTATTGTCGCAATCTAGATAGGGTTAGCAAATCAGCCAATTGCCCAGTCAAATGATATTATTTGGTTGTCACTGTGTAGGTGACAGCTTGGTATATGACTTGTAGCAAGAATAAGAAGTGAGGGATTCTTTTCTCCAACTGTGCAGACGTCAGGGGGCAAACCTAGAAGCACAGGAATACATCTCCTGCTGCCCACCTGCTGTAATTACAATAATCTCCAACTAAAGAGGAAGATGGGACGCGGGTGGCGCTGTGGGTAAAACCTCGGCGCCTAGGACTTGCCGATCGCATGGTCGGCGGTTCGAATCCCCGCGGTGGGGTGCGCTCCCGTCGTTCGGTCCCAGCGCCTGCCAACCTAGCAGTTCGAAAGCACCTCCGGGTGCAAGTAGATAAATAGGGACCGCTTACCAGCGGGAAGGTAAACAGCGTTCCGTGTCACACTGGCCACGTGACCCAGAAGTGTCTGCGGACAGCGCTGGCTCCCGGCCTATAGAGTGAGATGAGCGCACAACCCTAGAGTCTGGCAAGACTGGCCCGAACGGGCAGGGGTACCTTTACCTTTAAAGAGGAAGACAAGTAGTCATCCCTGGGCAAAGGTCAATACCTATCAGTTAGTGGCTCCTCCTTGCTGCAGGAACCAGTGAGTACACCTTTTGTTGATCTATCCAAGCTCCAGTGAGGAGTTAGTAGTGTTTGAAAATACTGAAAGTACTATGTGGAGTAAAGTACAAAAGATACTGCTGCAAATGAGACAATGCATTTTGGAAAGTTATGGAAAGCTAAAACCTAATTAGATTTTTAAAATACTTGATGGATTAATTAGTCTTTTAAAAAACTGGTCAAATGTCCAATTGTAGCAAATTGATACAAGCTTCATATGTAGGGGGTGAAAGAAGATGCCCCTGAGTGGAAGCGCCTTTAAATACCAATGGGAAATGAGGCTGCCTGTGCTGTCCTACTACATATTATAGAAGCACAGGTGAGTTGGGTTTAAATGAAACGTAAACTAGTGGCAATGAAGCAGGCTTGCACAGTTGCATTCAGAGAACAAAACTTTCTTGCTCCTGCTTGAGATAAATGAAATAAGGAAACCAAATACAGAAGCCCTCAGAAGGGGTTCAAATGGTTTTCATTTTGATAAGAATGTTTCCAAGCGAAATGGTGAAAGGAGCAGAATTCATGAGCACGAGAAGCTAGCAATGGTAAGTAAGCCAAGTTCTTTCGTATTTAGAAATGGTTATGATACTGAAGTAGGATAGCTGGTCTGTCTTCGTAGGTTGGTAGTTTACATTTTAATCTGAGGTGGGGGTGTGGTATTTCATCCTGGTAAACATAGCATAACATTTAAATTTACTTAAGAGCCCAGAGCAAAGGAACATGTATTCTTCCAGATGTTGGGTTTCAGTTCTCATCAACCTCATCCAGCTTGGTCAGTGGTCAGGAATGATGGGAGTTCTCGGTTAACGTCATCCGGAAAATGATCCACAGGTTCCCTGGATTAGATGATCAGTCACTGGATATGTACCATGCCTTTTTGTTAACTGATCTATATAGAGCCTGATGGGGGGATCCCCAAATTTACAAATCTAGTCATTTACAAACATAATTTGAGGGATCATTTAGGTGGAAGTATATTGCAAGTAAAAAGGTAGGACTATTACAGACTAAAAGTAAAAATATCCTGAGATTATTTTGTATCCATTTATTCACTAAAGTCTATTTGGAAATGCTCGCCTTTTTGAATTTGTCAGGTGTGTCTGCATGGAAAACAACATTGTAAGTGTTTTGGGTTTTTTTAGATTAAACTGAATTACTAATACAGTGGTACCTTGGGTTACATATGCTTCAGGTTACAGACTTCGCTAACCCAGAAATAGTACCTCGGGTTAAGAACTTTGCTTCAGGATGAGAACAGAAATTGTGCTCCATCGGTGCGGCAGCAGCTGCAGGAGGCCCCATTAGCTAAAGTGGTGCTTCAGGTTAAGAACAGTTTCAGGTTAAGTACGGACTTCCAGAATGAATTAAGTACTTAACCCGAGGTACCACTGTACACATTTTAATTGGAAGTGCTTGAAGTAGGCGTGTATTGGGTGTTAGGAGAGTGGTAGTATCTCTGGTGGGTGACACAGCATGCGCCTTCTGGGATAATTTGCCCACCTTTGGCCCCTACCCTGTGCTCAAGTCTCCATGTGTGACAGTAATGCCCCCTGAGAAACGGCTTTGACAGGCCGGCTAAACTAGATGAGGGTAGCCAATGGGTCTCAAACTCTTGGTGAGGTAGAGACTTCCCCTGCATCCAAAGACAGGCTCTGGTGGATTGAGCAGATGAGACCAATAGTGGGTCCAATGGTCAAGAAGACAGTTTCTGTGTGTGCTGTAGAGGGAAGTGAGGGGCAGATGGGGCTTGTTAACCTGGGAAAGTAGCCCATCTAGGAGAAGGAAAACACTGATCTTAAACCTTCACTGCCTTGTGGGATATCTTTGGGAGAAGAAAAGGCTATGGAGTAAACCCTACACAAATCCAGAGTGAAGTCCCTAAAACAGTTGGATAGTGCCTTGTACGCCTCCTGAGAACTGCAGCCAAGCTGGTGCCAAATGTTTTGCTCTGTTTTCTTTTGGGCCACATCAGCAAGGCCTTGTAGTCTGGACAGCCCAGGACTTCTATACACACTGCCCAGGTTTGTGCCCTGGAAAGATCACTTTGGAGCTGCTAACACAGCTATTTGACTTCACCCCTGGAGGCGCACTGTCTCTAGAGACAGATGGATACCAACAATAGCTTGAAGTGGACATGACAAGCATCTTGTTGTAAAAATGGATATCAACAGTCCAGTTTGGCAGTTTTCTATTTAAACATATTTATGTTTGTAGTATTAACTCTCTCAGAAATGGAGGGTAGGGGGTAGAGTTATAAGAATGTTTGTTTAGGAGTAGAGAATAAAAGACAAGATTTTTCTCAAGACATTTTGAACGTATTTGCGATTTGGGCATTCTTTTTCCACTAGGTGGCACTATATGCTAGTACTTAAACACAATAAATTCTGAACTGTTGCATTATTTTGCTTTCCATTTCCAGCCTTTCCTCTGAGGAGCTCAGGGTAGTGTACATACGGTCCTTCCACTTAACATTTTATCTTTGCAAAACCTTGTGAGGCAGGTTAGACTGAGAGATGGTGACTGGCCCAAGGTTACCTTGTAAGGTTTATGACTGAGGATTTGAACCCTGGTCTCCCAAGTCCAACACACCCTAACCATTATATACAGGGTTTAGAACTGGGGCTAGCAGCCAACACAGAACCAGAATTTTCTATTGCTATGTAGCTAGGATAGTAGTATATGTTAAGAGCTTCCATGCTGAGCTGCTGTCAGCAAGAGACTT